GGGGGGGGGTTATTTCAATAAGAAGTCAATCATGTATCATGTATAACAACAACATATAAAACCGATCCTACAAACATACATTCAAAAACCAAGATTCCATTCCCCAGTTCATGACTTCGTTTCATTTCATTCTTGATTTCTTCTTCTTCTTCCTATCATCTTCCCTAAGGTATCTAACCTTGACATGCAAACCTAATGACTGTTTCATTTCTCGTGAAAAGACCTCCCTCCCTATCATAATCCAACACGCCTGCCTGGCCCTTACGCCGGAGATCATAAAGAACCAAAAAGAGTAAAAGGAAAAAGGAAAAAGGCAAATGTACATAAGATAAATAAAATAGAAAACAAAAGAAAACAACAGGGATAATAATAGCCTCGACAAAAAGAGAAAGAAATAAGAAAAAAGAGCGTAAAAACGTAACCCAGCCTCAATAGCAAGTTATTTTAGAAGTCAGACCCATGTAAACACCCCTCTTCTCTATTCCCCAAAGCCGATTCCCGCCAGTCTATCATCTATACAGTAAGACCCCCCCAAGTGACACAGAGCGGAGGATGCTAAATCCAAGCCGCCTTACTCCCTGGTCCAAGCTGACGAGGAAGATCCTCGCCCTGAGTCTCCACAGGCGAAGTCCGGAGGGGGTTCCGCTTGGGTGATGTTGCGGATCGCAGTGTGGGAGATGCTGTGGTTTTCTTCTGTGGCGAGTAGACGGTAGGACTCAACTGAATCGTTGAGTTGGTATCTATACGTTGGTTGGTAGTCTTGAATCCCGACTCCTTGGGAGTCGGTGGGAGCGTTTTACTCGAGAGTCTCCCTTGGCTAGGTGTATGCTCAAGAGAACCGACGCTTGTGTCCAGAGGACTGAGGCTTCTCATGAATCGTAAAGGACTCGATATCCTCGGCGTTTCTGGTTGGGGCAGAGTTGAAGAGACATTTAGTGGTCTCGGTACAAGGTGAGAAGCACGTGACGGCGCACTTCCGTGGTATGTTGTTGAAGGTAGGGGGAGAGGGGAGGGGGGGATGTCTTGCGGTGGCGCGAGAGCATTTGAAATACGCAACCCAATCTGGACGGTTGCTGATGACACTATTGATGAGTCTCGACGATGGCCTTTCCCTCCAACTATGGAATGAACCGGTGGTGGAGGTTCTAAGCCACCGATATCGTAAGTTGACCCCCTTTCTATCGAGAACTTTGATGTGGGCTCTGTCCGAGTACCTGATTGCGCTACTGGATCGGGGCTGGCTACTCGAGGGGGAAATAAGGAATATGATGGCCTGTAAGTTCGCGTTGCTGGCTCAGCTACAGCGATTTCAAGGGACCCTGAGGGGTTTGGTACGATATTCATCTCCATGACAGAATCCGATGGCGATGGGATATGCCTAGTTGACGACCGAGAGGGTGGACTTTTGAGAGATTCCATACTAATGGCCCGACCTTTCTCGGCGCTCGTCAGGGGTATCGTACTCTCCGATCTATTGTCCATCGGGCCTGGTGTCTGAGGTTGGGATACGGGAGCAACCAGCTGTTGGTTAAATGCCAACTCATTTGGTCCCCAAATCCTCATCTCATGCTTTCCATGGCCCCATAATCTGCCGCCCTTTGGTCCAAAGGACATCGTTGTAGCGTTGGTTCTGAGGAACATTTGAAGAAGTCCACTGAGCAGGCCGGATAAGTTGATGACAACTGTTGCCATCATAGATAGCTTCAAGTTTCCATGCCCTACCGCCTGGGAAGCAAAGTATGGAATTACCAATGCCTGATCCTGTTAGAAGAGGTAGAGTAGGGAAGTTTGTCTCCACTTACTATTGAGACGATCCCCAACCCAAGATGGTAGACCATCCGCGAGGCTGCCACTCGCTGATGTTGGTCGATCAAGTTGACAGTAGTCAGTCTGATAAATATCGTAAGAGCACCGACCAGCATCAGGCCATCACTAACAGATAACAGAATCGTGCCCAGTTCCCCATATCTCGATATATACCACAATAATGTTGCCACGCAAGTGTTGTGTTCGGGGTAAATGTGAGAGGGAATCCAGGTCGCAATCAACATCAGTATAATCACCCCACAGCATATTGTCACATCGTTTTTCCCTCTCGCCTGGAATGGCAAAGCTCGTAATGACCGTATCGCGCATTCGAGTCCGAAAACTACCTGTATGTAAGGCACAATGAAAAACGCTAAGCTGTCAGCCATGATTTATTTGTGTGATAGATTTACATACCAGGCCAAAGAACTTGTGCTTTTTCTCCACATCCCTTTGTGGTCAAGGCCGCAAGACCCGTCCCTTGTATGCTGGCAAAGACAATGGCTTGAATAATAATCCCTATAGAAAGGATTAGAGGGAAGGTTTCTGCTGGATGAAGCGACGATATGAAAAATTTCCTGTCTACTGTCAGCACTTCTCCTCATCCGGGCTTATCTACATACGATGCTCTAAACTTTGGATTGTATCGTTTCGAAGCCAAATAGCAATCGTATAGAATCATGGCGGCAGTGCTGAAAGCAGCTAGTGCATTGAATGCGGCCAAAATGATGGTTGATGTCCTGATTGACTTGCTGTCCTCGAATACAAGGTTCGCAATCACCGTCGCCGCAGCATTCTCGTTGGTCTTTGAATGGTTCGTCGGGTGTCGACCCGTTGAATTTCTGCTACCGTTCATCGCCCGCTCAATTACAAAATTCGCCACCATCGTCGTCGCCATGATATCCGAATTGTATCCACTGATTCCTATTCCTCCTACAGGTGAAGGCACCAGCCCAGTATTGCCAGTCGTGGCGTCGTCAAGTCATGAAGACCATAGATACTGTCATTGAAGGAGTGTAAAAGCAATCCACCAGGGAAGGTAAGAAATGAAGCACCGATAAACCAGAACGGCGAAGAGAGAAAGGGGGGCAATTGTCTGAGCCAGCAGTCATGCAATAATGATTAACCAACGAATTGAAAGAATGTACGACAAATCTGTCCACGACCACGATGAGAATTTCGAGGCATGAGAGGATCTGTTGAGGGCTGCATAAAGTATAAGAGAGAACCCTAGACATTATACGAGTGGTTCAGGAGTTGAACGGGGCAAGTAGGACAGACCGGGGATGGCCTCGCGGTGCAAAGATCGGTTCTTCAGGCACAGGTCCCGCCACACTGTCAGTTTAAGGCCCATGGGAGGGATCCTAGGTTGAGCAGAGGCTCAAAACCACTTTATCTGATCTGGACGTTCCAGAACACGTGGTGTGTGCTGTAATTGGTCCTAAAGAGAGGCAGGAGTGTGGGTCAAAGTGACGGATAACAGCTTGCCGTGGTGATCGCTTGCAGTGATACGGTAATCTATCCACTCTCTGTGCTGAAGCCGCTGAAGCCATCAACTTGGGTGGCCCATTCCTTGACAACTCGAGTCTGAAGGCATTGATGATGCACTTCGAGGTTTCGATGTCGTCGCAGATACTCGCTTACATCCCAGGGAACCGGGTCAAAGCTCGTGGGATTTGACAGTTCACGAACCGAAGATGCGCTGGGCAGGGATAGATGTGAGAAAAGAAGATGGTATCCAGTATTCCGGATGGCTGGCTTACGGACGTTGGAGGGTCGAGGGACCACTGCCTCATTTCTTAGGATGAAAGAATGGAGAAATGCCATCGAGGCCTTGGTCAGCAGAACCGCACAGGCCGTCCGGTGCTTCGAAAGTCGATCAAGAGCAGACCACTTTCCTACCCTTCGAACATTTCGAATCAGTAGCAATATAACATGGACACTGAGCTACCAGTACAAGTGAACAACGATGGTGCAACTATGCGTCCCGAAGATCGAAGCTATCAGACGGGTATTTCCCTCAAGCTTGTTAATTCAACAAAAAAGATAGAAGCAAATCAGATTGCCGGTTCATCCAGTCAAGGATAGCACTTGCGGGGCAGGTAATTATCTCTTCCTGGAATTGGGTGCTCTGTATATGGTGGCGCTCTTTGAAGCGCGGCGGGTTTGAAGATGTGGGATGAAACATCGTCCCGATAAATGCCGCCGACATTGAACGTCTTGTGGACAAGTAGCGGCAGATTCGGATTTAGACTCAGAGTCGAAGGAGACACGACGATATGATGAGATTGCAAAGTCATACTATACGCTTTGAAATGAAAAAGATATCGAGATGGCAAAATTTATTGCGTCTCGTGTGTTGCTAGGCTGTTCAGGACTCGAAGAGGTGGTCGATAAAAGCGCCGCGGATGACCTTAGTTTTAGCCTCATCACGTGAAACGCGATTTGACTACAACACGTACCTTCCTGAGCAGGAGGCAGAAGTCAATATAACCCAGAAATCCTAAAAGCCATCCTTCTCTTTAATCCAAAGAGCCTAATTAGTCTTGAAAGTCTTGCAAAGCAATTAATAATGCGATTTCGCAGGCATCATGAGCTCAGCGAGGTATTGCTCGATAACATCGTGATCCTGCCCTTACAATAAGTTGCACCGATAAATCAATGGTACTGAACCTCATTTACCAGATGCAAATCTCAGCAAGGCACACCGCTGACCCTCGGACGTCAACGCCAAGATGCATCTCATCGAGTTTGTTCGTTCTATGGCACTCAAACACTACAAGTCTGTCAGTGGAATATGCTTCTTGTCCTTTGAGATGCCCTAGGATTGCTCACATCCTCGTCCACATTCTCTCTTCCCTAAGCTTTTAGCAACACTCTACTAATGAGAACACTGTTCCCTAGTAATGTCAGCCCTGACCACTCTGTAATCGAGGCTCCCCCGAAAGATTTGTAGACCCAGCGAATTACCCAATGTTATATCTTTATTCCCAAATTTTCCCTTGATACAATATAATTACATCTGTCCCCCTCCTATTCCCCTCTCCACAAATCCACACACATCTAAGCCTTCTTCGCCTCCTTCGCCTCCTCCTCCATGCGCAGTCTAGCCTTCATAACGCCATTCCGGACCGCGAAGGCATTACTGATATCCCGGAAACTGTACCACAAGGCGTACAGAGGGAGCACGACCCAGAGCATATTAAAGAAGACCAAATACACCCATTTAAACATAAAGTTACTCGTATCAAGATTCTGGTTGCCAGTTAACCACTCCGGCGCAAAAGTCATGAAACCTGATATTTTCGCACGTTACGTTAGCGATTCCGAACTGGAAGGGGGGTGAGATAAGGCAAGAGAACGTACCTCCATACAGCTCAGCCGTAGCAAGCACGACCATCCAGAAAGCGACGCGGTAATCCCTCCGCGCAATGCCCGTGCAGATGTAGAAGGCCAGCGGGCCGCCGCCCAGCACCGTCAGCAGCTCCAGGCTCACGACGGTGATGTCGGCGCCGGCCCAGCGCTTGTCGGCCTGCGCGTACACCATCCACAGCTTGGTGGCCCAGTTGTCGCCGTAGGCGGCCCCGTACAGGCGGTCGGGCGCGGAGAGGAAGTTGGTGATGAGCGCGGGCGAGTGCACGGCGGCGTCGTAGGGGCTCGAGGTGAAGAAACAGTTGTAGAGAAAGGATCCTTCGAAGATGAGGTGGATGAGGAAGTCGAACGCGTGCCAGACGAAGAGCACGCGCAGACCGGTGGGGGTGTGAGGGGAGAGGGCACGCAGGGAGAGGAGGTAGGCGCTGTTGAGGATCATGATGACCGCGGCGAGCGAGACAAAGGTGACGCTGTCGAGGTTGTCCATGACTGAGCTCGACATTGTTGCGAATGTATGGAGCTTGATTTGGTGGTTTGGTGGTTTGGTGGTTGAGAAGCTTGGGTTTGTCGATTGAGGACACGAAGCGCTCAATTGTCGACTTGGGTGGGAAAACAGGCAAAAGGTGACAATTGGTTAAATCATCAGCTCGATTGCAGAACTAACACCTTAATTACTCCCTCCAACATGAGCACGTGGCGCTTTTCGCTGGGCAGAGTGAGTTCTGCGTTTCCAGGGAGAGGGAAGCTTGAGCTTTGGGGTTCGTCGCCATTCGAGCTCGCGGCTCCACTAGCGCCTGGTTCCGAAAACTCTCATTGGAGGTACTGCTTCCCCCACAAGAAGATTCTGCTTGCACACATACTTCAAACTTATTGAAATCTACCATTCAAAAAATTATAGAAGCAGAACAAAGAGAAAGGAAACCAAGAAAAAGAGAAGGGTTAAGTAAGATATACAATTGAGGCCTTGTTGCGAGCAGGCAAGGGCTCGAAAATAGGGGTCCAGAGACCCTTGTATTAGGTCGAAAACGGTGCTGATTGTGGGGACGATGGCACAGAGGGGTAATTCTCCTTTTGGTCTCTGGTTATTGGCATCGGAATGGAAGTCGGACGCGATTCTTCTCTACCCTTGATGAGTCGAGATCCCTGAGTCCTTTTTCAGTCGGACTTTGTATCCTCAATTGAGCCTTCCCAATTCATGATATAAGTTCTATAGCATCACATATTTCACGTGAGCACATGTCATCTTGGTGTAAGTCGTGTAATTATTGTGCTATCATTATTCATCCAATAGATCCATCGTCCAAGTCCTTCCTAGAATGAAGCTTCCGAGACGCCAATCTGATCCATTCATCTAAACCTTCAAGCACAAGTGATACAGAGATAATCTAGTGCTTAGAAGCCTCTGTAGAGATAAAATGATGAGCCAACTAGTCATTCTTCACTCTTGGGGAAGGAAAACTCACCCTTGTAGGTATCGCCCTTGATGTCGTGGCTCTTCTCATCCTTCTTGTCGATAACAGCATCCTTGGCGGCAGTGGCACGGGAGCTGAGGCTTGCGTCAGAGTCCTTGGCGACGTTCTTGTTGGCCTCCTTGGATGCGGTAGCACCGGCACCCTGGACGGACTCGGCAACGTAGTTTGCGGCGTTCTGGAGATCATCATCAGCTTGTTTCCTTCACGCAGCCCTACCATAGAAGGAGAGCGGGGGGTGAAAGGGGGGATGGGTAGACGAGATGCTCGGGATGAGGATGCTTCTTGAGAGAAGGGTGGAAGGGAAGGAGAACAAGCTTACCTTGACGGTTTCCATGTTGTGATTGGATTTGATTGATTTGAGTTTTTGTTCTTGATTGGTGTAAGGAGTATGTGAATTGATGTGATTGAGGTGATTGTGAGATGAAGAGAGAGGGTTCATCAGAGGAAGAAGAAGGGCTCTTTATACCATTTCATTCGCTTCTCCAGATGGAAATCTCGAGACGTCATCTCGAGGGAGTCATCGTTCTCTGATCTCCCTGACTATGCAACTGTATTCGCCCTTTCTCCATACCCCCGCCTGTTTGAGTTCAAAACGCAATCATTGTCTGCCAAGCAGGTGATGCACCTACAACGTACTCCGCATGTGCTATGGAGCTGTTTGTCGGCGATGACGTCCCGGATTATGGACCCCCTCCACAAGCGAGCCAATCACAGCGCCCGAGACCAACCCCGCTGACGACGTGCTACAAGAGCACCGCGTAACACAGGATTTGGCTGAAGCAGGAATGCCTGCGCCACAAGAGCAATTAGAAGCCGCAGAAGCCCAGAAGCCCCAGCAGCCTCAGGTGTGGCGATTCCCGATCTTGGTTGCGTGTGGCGGTGTGGCGGTGCGGCCTTTCCCCTTTCCGGCCTTTACCCTACCCCGCAATGACATCCCTTCCTGCATCATGACGAGGGAAAGTGAGGGAAGTCCCGCGGGCCGGGATCCACCAGGGGTTAGCAGGATAGGTAATCGAATACCTTACTCCCATGATCCCCGTCTCCAACTGCATTCGCACCCGCATCTGCATTCGCATTCGGGAGTTGATGGGAATCCAAGAATCAGCATCCAGAGGCACCGGCTTCTTGTCCGGGCGCTTACCTAAGGAGCTGTGATCTGCGGACAGTAACGTCATCTCTCACGCCCATCAGATAGGAACAGGGAATCGGAGAGGAAGGCTGACCCACCAGGCAAAGGGTAAGCAGGTTGTGTCCCGCCTAAAGCACGTGATTCGATAGTAGTGAAGTGAAGCTGGCCATCATGTTGCGTGCATTGTGGACGTATGTCCCCTCGGAACGCCCCCTTACAAGTACAGACAGAGTCATTCCAACTCCTCTTAACGTCCGCACCGCTTCTAGATAGCCACAGATCCTCCGAGGTCCAGGATTTCAATGTGTTCTCAGAGCCTCAATATCTCCCGGTCGCGCGTGATGCCTCCCCGGAAGTGTTCCTCGATGACTTTTCCTCCAAGCACCGTCTCCTCCACGATGCCCTGAACGTGCTTCGGTTCCACCCGGCCATACCAAATCCCACATCCCTCTAACGGATGCTTCTCTCCGTCCGCGGTCTTCATCCCGGGTGGTAGATACACTATCACATTCCCCGCGAATTTATGGCCCCCAATATGACTGATCAGTCCTACTCTCGCCGTCCTCGCTGGTTCCTCAGGTCCCGGGCTCGTCACAGCTTCTCCGTTCTCCCCTTGAGAAATCTCCACCGCGGCCTTCTGAACCGACAGACCCACCCGTGGCAGGAATTTCTCAAATTCGTCTCTCAAGATTGGACCCGTGATCCCACATCTCATATCCCTGCCCCCGTGGCCACAGATCAACACCATCACATCCTTGACATCTTGCACACCGTATAGGAACTGTTGCTGTTCTTCGCTACGGAGAAGGCGGTCGCGGTGGATAGGCGAGAGACCCTCATTGGCTGGATTAAGTTTCGTGGGGAGGATATAGCCTTTCACGAGCGCTTGGACGGAATCAAACGACACACGCGGGAGGAACGGGATATATTTGAAGGAGGGGAGGAGGTAGACGGAGGTAGTTTGGACTTCTTCTCTTTTCGGTACTGAACTGGGAAATGATGCATTCGCGACGGCGACGTTGTGATATGGCTACTCAGAAAGGTATATTAGTTAGCAAAGGGTCATATATGGTTGGTTCAAGGCGGGCGGATATGTACGTCGGAATATACTCCGCCGCGCCCTAGCAATTCTTTTATGTCCGCAGCCAGGTTATCGCCGGAATTCTCTTCCTCAATTTTGCTCATCCAGTCGTCTTTTCCGGTACATATCAGTACTTGTTCGGCGTATGCTGCCATGGTGCCATTCAGCGGTTTCGAGTGGTCTATCTCGAGCCCTTCGGGCATGGCGGGTGTCTCGGCGCAAGAGCAGGTAGGTGACGGACATGCTTTGATTGTCGGGAAAGGTGGCGGTTTATGGAGAATTGAGGAATATCGAATGGCGGAACGGCTTGACGACCGCCATACAGACCTCGTTATAGGTCTTAGAAACATGGCGAAGAAAAGTAAGGAGATGAGGTTGGTAAGTAGCAAAGAGAATGAAGTGGAAAGGATGACAATGACATTCGGTAGATTATCTACTCCGGAGATAATCAGTAGATAATCATTCGCGTTCTTAGTGCGTCTTGCGTGCCGTACTCGGACTATAGGGTAGCGAGCGCCGACAGGGGAAATTGAAAATTCCGTGATGCTCATTGATCAACAACACCATGGGGCTGTTCGTGACTTTCAGCCTCTTCTTTCTGGGGCACATACAATGAGGATTCGTTGTTAGACGATGTGAGGTGCAGGTCCAGCGTTACTCGTTGTCATCAATCCTTAATCACTGTTACGACTATACTCTTTCTTGGACACTTTGGACCCTTCCCAATGCCTCGAATACCACACTCCCTCTTGCTTCGAGCTCACGAGATTTCCCCCTTCCTACCACTTGTCCTCCGCGCTACACGTACTCTGCCGTCCGCGCTGAACGAACTTCGGTGGCTGGCCGAGCATGTCCAGGAACAGTCCTACCCTCGGTCATTGAGCAATTCTCAGCGGAGCCGAAAGCTTCTCCAACTCTGCAAGAGACGGGAAAGGGGCGAGCCATTGCAATACATTCTCGGATCCCAGCCATTCGGGGAACTTGACATCAAATGCCGCCCAGGAGTGTTGATTCCAAGGTGAGTTTGAAAGAAATGCTTGTCACGTGGACACCGCTGAGGATGATTGCAGGCCAGAGACAGAGGCCTATACCACGCATGTTGCAAAGCTGTTGCTGGAAGGACGTCTACACAAAGACCTCAATCCTGAGAGGTTTATGACCGGGACACACCATGGCAATGGGAATCGTCCAGCGGACCTAAAAATCTTGGATTTATGCTCCGGAAGCGGCTGCATATCCCTTCTTCTATATTCCCTCCTCTCCGGGAAAGTCCCCAACATCAAGATTCGTGGTTATGATATTTCAGCTACGGCTCATAAGCTATCTGTTGAGAATCTGCGCAATGTTGAAAAGAACCATTTCCACAAGTCATGCCCAGTCGAATTTCATCAAAAAGATATCTTTTCCAAAGAGGAAGAATTACAGATAGATCCTGAATCAAATTCAGTCGATATCATCATCTCCAATCCACCATACATAACCTTGGACGGCTTCAACAAAAGAACATCCCGATCTGTTCGAAACTGGGAGCCAAAGACGGCGTTGGTGCCAACGCCGCGGGGCCCTGACGATGATGGCTTTTTGTATCATCGACTACTCCAGCTTCATCAGCATTTCTGTTCCAAAGTTCTGGTTATGGAAGTCGCTGGTGAAACCCAGGCGCGATTGGTAGCCGATGCTGCGAGGGAAATATGTTATCCAAGCAATAGAATTGAGATCTGGAGAGATTGGCCAGACCAAGATTCTCCTGACCCGGACCAGTCGATAATACTACGCGATGAGAAGATTCCGATCAGAGGCAATGGCAATGTCAGAGCCGTTGTCCTACTTCGTAAAGAATCGTCTAGCACGCCTACTACAGCTGTTCCAACTGGTTCTGTCTCACAGCAGCTGAAGACAGAGGAACCTGATCCAAGCTCGGGATGAAAATGGAGAATATTGGCCGTGGTGCCTCTTCATGTGACATAGAGTGAAGGAATGGCATGTCTCGGCACCCATCACGTTTTGAGGGATGGGATGGAGTCGAGACCTGTGCCCGATTTGGGATATTAAGTGAAACGTAGAGCAAGAGACATCCCCACAACCGATATTCAGATCCACAACCTATGGTGACGGGACCATCCAAAAAACTCGCTCCTGGATCTGGAGTCGGGTGGATAGCATGGCCGAGCTATGTCAATACTTGTAGCACGAAGAGTAAGTAATATCAATGCCCACTGTCCGTTGGCCCCTTACTGATATCAGTATAGATAGATAGGCTCAACCTATCCGAAACCTGTAGTGATACCCAAAACATGGACATCTCATTATTTTCGTGCTGTATGGATGAGGAGAGCTTGTGTGACTTGCCCTCATGCCGTCCAAGGGCTGCGATCGATCCTTAGACAATGAGATGTCACTATCTTCAGGAGACCGGAAAATCTAGATAGGTATTTCGCAATCTTAGAGCAGATCTGATGAACTCATCAGATTTGCCAACTGCTAATGCAAGCCCGAGAGCGGTTTGCGTGATACCCCTTCATTTCAGTACACGCTACAAGCTGTGGCGTTTCTCCTGTGTCATCAGCTATTCACCATGCTGTCTGGCTCCTGACTTAATTTTCCCCGTCCGGAAGATAAAATGGGCATTTGCTTCCATTTTGACAGTTTTTACATCCAAAGTGATCTTCCCCCCTCTTCCTCTCTATCCGGACATGTTATTCTATACGAACACAGTGAAGAACAACACCATACTTAACCTAGCCTTTCTTCCCTAGCGCCTGAATCGAAACTCAGATTCGAACCTGAAGTTAGGAATAAAGTGTCCAAGGTATTTCTCATACCCAACGTGCTCTTATCACAAAGTAGAGGGGAATAAGGATTATCTCCTTAGAAAGAACCGGCTCAAAAGAGCCAAGAACCTTCATCCCTATATCTCTCTAGTTCAATCCCTTAAGAAAATCACTTGGATCTAATATCTTCCAGCGGCTGTGAAGTCTACAACTGGCAAATATAATAGACGGCAATATACAGAATCGAACGGCATCTCACTGCTAGCTGCATATGTGGTTAAATACTGCTTTTAAAACGACATACAGGGAAGAGAAAGGGGTGATTGAACAATGCTAGGAGAATGATGGATAGTGTAGAGGCACAGTATCGACATGAGTCCATCCTAAGACTTCCTGCTACCTATTCACCTGTTCTATTACTCGTTACTTAGCGTCTAGACTTCGTATCCTATGTACGAATTCGGCCTCACTTTCATACAATGTAGACACTAGAGATACTAGAGATACTAGAGATGCAAATCCAGCACCTATCATCACAGAGCGCCGCAAGCCTCTCGAATCTGGATCTCGAGGGGCAAAAGTGTCTAAAAGCCTATTCATTGACTACTACCTTGATCACTATCCCCTCCCACAGGATCAGGATCCTTCATTTCCGCATCCGCGCCCTCAGGTTGACCAGCAGCCTTTTTAGCCTTCTCTTTCAATTTCCTCTTAACCTTCTTTTCCCTATTCCTCCTCGTTCTCTTCTCCCTCTCCGCCTCTTCTCTACTCTCCTTCTCTTTCCTTCGCCTCTCCGCCTCCTCTTCTCTCTTTCTCTTCCGTTCTCTCAGAATCAGTCTCCTCTTCTTCCCAGGTTTTTTCCTCTTCCCCTCCCCCATCCCATCCCCGCCCTCTATCACCTTCTCCCCCACCCCATCCCCATCCCCATCCCCATCCCCACCCCCATTGCCCTTCCCAGAAACCCTCACAACCCTAACTCTCCACGGTACCTCCAAGCCCCACGCCCTCATCCCCGCCCACTTCCTAACCTCCTCCCCACCAACCGCCATCCTTTCGAACCCCCATTTCCTCTCTCCCTCCGCCCTGCCCACCACAAACACCCTCGGATCTTTCATCTTCACCAATCCCCCATCTCCCTTGCCCTCCTCCTCTAGCACGATTTTCTGCGCTCCTCCGGCGTTATTGTCCCCATTCGTTGCGAAGAGTCGGAATTCGAATTCTTTCTCGCTTTCTTCTTTTTCTTCTTCTTCCCTGACGTCCCCCCGCCCCGACTCATCCTGCCGTCCCGCTGGAGCTACTACGGATAGAGGGAACGCAGCCCCGTACACAGAAGCCAAGCGTGCGCGATACGAAGCTTCGAGCTCGGGGTCGACGGGCGACGGAGACCGCGATGCGCTGCCCGAGCGTGCGTACAGCTCGCTGCGCCGTACGCTGCGGAAGGATTACTTAGCAATGTGCGGGGGTAATTTAGGAGCGGGATCAGAAGAAGGGGGGGACACGAACCGCTTTGCGTTGGGGAGGTCGAACATTGGGAGGTTATTTAGGTATTGCGCATTATTGGGGAGGGTGTGGAAATGTTTGGTGCGATGCATGGATAGAGCTTGTGCGGTGGGCTGGATATGCCGGGTATGCAATATCGATATCGAAACTTTATGCGAAAGGTCGCTTCAGAAGAGAAAATAAAAAAGCGACATTATGATTTATGGGAGAATGATGGTATGGGGGGATCGAGAAAGTTATATTCCAGAGTGATTATTATATCATTCAGTACGAAAGGGTATCGTGCTTTTCTCCAATCCTACGCCAGCTCCAATCCTATATAGACTCCCAACCCAGTTCGTCAGATTTCATTTGCTTCCATCATTTTTCATCCTGCGCTCTTCCACGTGGCGATATATCATGGGTGGATAATACATGAGGTGATATTAGCGATAGTATGCGTCGTGAGAAGTCAATAGTCTCGTATGTGTAGATAGGAGAGTCGTGTGGAAGGACCGCATCCTGGCCTTCCTGCGTGGGGCAGTTTCATGGTTCGTCATTAAGTTCCGTAGATGTTTCATTCATGTGTTCCAGGTGTAGCTGTGTGGGGGATTGTTTTCATCCTTTAAGTATGGCTCGTTCGGGAATTGATAATGCTGCTGCTGCTGCAAGTTTGGTGCTGGTGCGGGCATTCCAGCCCCATATATCCCCGACGTGTCCGGCGCAGTAGTCCAAGGCTGCATGGGAAGGGACGTTGGAAAGTATCCCGCATCCCTCTGTGCCACTACATCGTTGCCACTGCCGTAAGGAGGTGCAAATCGTGCATTGTAGTCGGCGTAGGGTGTGTTGGAAGGTAATTTAGGGGGTGCTATGTGACGAGGCGACTTTGCCGGCCTGGGATTGCTATCGACAAAGCGAAGTGGGGGGCCATTTTGCGAAGGGCTCGAGGTGGGACTGTAAGTGTACTGTTGCCGGATAGGCAGTTGGTGTACAGCGGAGGGTGGAGACGAGAGACCTGCATTTGGCTGGGTCGATTGGTTCATTTGAAGATAGCTATCCATTGTTAAGGGTGCTTGATAGCCTGGAGTGCTCGGTGCTGTGCTATGTTCAGCAGCCATATGAGATGGTAGATATGTTGGATATGTCCTTTATTTCATGTCAGTAAATGTTTCATATTCACGTTGGTCAAGAGAAATAGAATGACTCAAATAAGTGCCTGTTTCTCCCTTTGCTCTTCAATTCTTTTGGTTTTTGTTACAGATGGAGAAAGGGGCCGATGAAAACTTACGATTGTCGCATCACACCAGGGGAAGGAGGGAGGTTATTTCCATCAAAGGTGAATGTCGCCGACCTTTGGGGCTCCATATTTTGAGGTCTTGATTCTCTTGGTTTCTCGACAGGAGCAGGAATCGGGGCGATCCCAGATCCAATGCTCGTCACAACTTGCAAGTCAGGGGGGGCGCCTCGAGAAGATGACGAGCCAACGAGGGGTATCTCTTTTCTGGCCTGGAAATTTCGAGGACTCCGACCCCTTACAACAATCGGGGCGGTGGAAGTCTCGCAGATGTTGGTCTTTGTGCCGTTTGTCAGAGTTGCCACCACGTTCAGGTGGAGAGTAAAGTGCTGTTGAAGCTCCCGCCTTCGACCATTATTCGCCGTCGCTATCCTAAACTGTAATCTTCTATAAGCAATCGGATACACGGAAAAGTCGCTCTCGCCGTTCGGGTCAGTCCCATCAAATGGCAGGAGTGGTATTGGGGACGGCTCGTTCTCTTGGCCGGGTCCAACCTCAGGGGAGTTTGGTGGCGGGGTTTTCCAAGGAATGACGATCAATTTTACAGCATGCCCATCAACGGATTCCGATGCAGAGACGCAAACTTCCATAGCCATGATGGGAAATCGTTCCCCTCTTTCAGTTATCACTGATAAGGGCCCTCGAGGTGTGGTGACAGTCCCAGAGATCTGAAAAAGGTTCCGCCGGTAGCACGTCAGTTCAGGCTGGAGGATCCCATCTCCAGATGGCGTGGCCATCTCGGAGAGGAAGAACATTCCATGGATCTGTGCAGACAGTTCGATCTGATGTATCCGTCCATGGTCATCGAGAATTGTCTGTTTCAGCGGGATTTTACTAAATGAAAGAAGTCTGTGATCTTGATTGATAGATGGTTTGGGAGGGTCCGGCAGCTCCTCCCTGAAGTCCGGCGCCACTTCTCTATATGCTGAGTCCTCGGTAGACTGGAAGCTCCGTTTGAGTGATGGGTAACTATGGTGGGTATTTAGGGGTGGTGAGGCCGTGAGGACCTCGTTTCCCGCGCCCAGAACTCCAGGCGCTCCTCTTGTAGGTGTTGATGGAACCTCTAAGGGCCGATAATTTCCTTTCTGAGGTAGTCCATGGTATGGCATCCCTAGGGGACCAGGTGTATAACTCGTCTCGAAGGTCGGTGGAGGGGCACCTGCGGAGGTCGGTGTGTGAAGACTATAGCGTTGCCAGAGGGAGCTCTCCGCGTCTTCTGGCTGTATGTTTGCCATCGTGACTGAATTTGTGATGGACATCGATGCATTCTTCCACGCATGAGGAAGCACAACGCATTTAATGAACGAGTGAAGGGCAAGATTTCCAAGCGCAAAGGATCATGAAGGTCTTGCAATCAGATCAGACATGGGACTGGGAGGTAAGGATAGATGGAGAGGCCGAAGCACGAGCTAGCTAGCTATGGGACTAAGCTTTAATTCGTGGATCCTGACAAGGTCGTTCAAGGGGGCCAAGCAGGCCAACTTTTTGAGGGGCCGCTCTTCCTTCCGCATTGCTCCAAAGCATGAGGTGAGGGTGGGTTGCTCTGACCCGGCTCTGGCCCCTCTGAGATTAGCCTTCCCCTCTTGGACGGCATTTAATGTCGCTCGTCCCAGCGACTACCGATACGACTTATCTGCTCCGTTCGACTCGACAAACCAGTGTGAATGTGGCGGGCGCGTGATCTGCATTAGTGAGCCCTCCTATCTCCATCGTGGTGCACCGCTGCTATTGGCAGAGGGTGTCTCTCGAGTCCCATGGCCTAGCCGGAATGCGCATCTGAGGATGATCATCAATAGTCGAATAAATGGGGATATGTCGAAAAGAAAGACGTTGGCAAGCGAGGGTGAAGCCAGAAACGACCGACAGCATGGGGAGGACCCTGTGCCGTCCGTCCCAAACCAGGCGAAATCCGTGACACGCATCCTATGAATGGCCTAGCGCATGGGAGTTGTGAACTCTAGACCAGCGGATGGCCCTCAGTGGCCCCTGAACCGTCAAGTATTTTCCGTTCGCTCGTCCGATCTTATTATTGATTGAGCGCCAGAACTATAGTAGTAGCCGGGCCAGTAGGCGTAAGCCTCCCGGCGAAAAAGAACCAAGGGTTGATTGGCCGGCCAACAGCGTTATGGGGGAGTTGAACAAATCCCAGATCATTCCCAGCGGCAAGATTGCCCTGGAGCCTGGAGCCTGGAGTATAGAGCATGGAGGGAGCATGGATTCTTGCTGTTTCCGATGAAAAAAAAATTAAAAATTTCAACTCATCCTGCAAGCAAGCCGCTCCCTCGGGTGTTTAGGGGGGTTAGGACTGGGACGACGGGTTTGACGGTCACCAGTGAAGGGACCCAGCTTACCAAAGCCTTGGATAAGATGATAGAAGACCCCGGGTACCTGCGAAGTTCTGCGGCACAGGATCAAGCTGCCGCCATAGTAGTCTCGATCTGAGAGGTAGCTGAGAAGGTACGTAGGCTGTGCGCTAGAGGTCTGGCACGGGTAGTAAAAGTTAATATCTTTTCTCTTTCCCTTCTAGAAGAAACACGGGCTTCGCCTTTTGACGCCAGGCTCCGTCGTGGATTTCACGCATGACACAGAGGACATAGCACATGGCATGGCATAGATGATAGCATATAGCAAAGCCCCATAGCAGAGCACAGTATGATAGTAGCCACCTAGCACAGCGCAAGCAAGTCTTGCGGAGAATTCTGCAGCAAACAGAGCCGGGCGGATGGGCCCATGAATGGGGTCCCGAACTCCCGCTGTCCCACCGTTCCCACCAGCCGCCGAGTCTTCGATAGCGGGTTCAAGACTTCAAGTTGGACGTCAAGCACTCACGCATCACCTTTGAACCCTCGCAGTGACGGTGGCTGAGTGGCAGCATTGGCGGCATGGAAGGCTTGGAAGCTTTCTGGAATCCAGAGATTTCAAATCCTGATTGGGGGGCTCGGGTCCTTGCGCGAAAATGGTATAACGCCGCTGCACACCCTACGTGCAGGACCAAGGTACAGGCTTTGGCGCCGGCGGCTTCGGGAGCCCCGTTGGATGGGCGGCGAAAGTAGGCGAGTTATCGAATTTCTCTCGCGGAAATATGCCCTTCACGTGGAATACCATGAACGAGAGTCATATACAGACCGCATTAAGACCAGAAAATGCTCCAATGTAACGTTGTGGCTCTGTTCGATTCCTTCTGGGCGTAACTCGACAAATAACAACTATAAACCGTCCTCATCTTAGCGGATCAAAAGGACCGAATGAGACAATTGCATTGATATCGGGGAAAAGGGGTGCAGAGAGCAGGTAAGCGATCATCAGGGATGAGAACGTGGGGAACATAAATCAAGTAGGTCGCCACCTCTGCGTTCCGCTGAGCTGCGGTAGCCTTCCTCTTCCGGCCACCTCCCAATTCCAACGTTCGAGGAGTCGCCGTTCAGGCATCCTGCTTGTAGACACTGTCTGAGGCACGGATGGAGAAGAAAAGGGGGAGGCCCATAGGAGCCAATTGGGTCCGGCAGATCTTGGGGACGGGTCTGCCTTATCTCCTAGCTCAGCCTTGAACCACTGCTAAAGCCTAAAGGTGTGGTGCAGAAGTCTGTGTGGCCTGCATTACACTGCAGAGGTGAGGCAATGGATTGTCTGGCTTCTGATTCCTTCTCGCTTTCCTAACCGTGATACCACTTAGTGTTGAAGTCAACACCATGTTGGCCATGAACGTCCACAAGGGGCATCTCGCCGCCCTGTCCGTCTTCATGGGCAGTATTAGGAGTTTCGTAGTTTCGTCACTCGACGTCGCCTTGTATGCTGGGGGGAAGAAGGGACAGCTTCAGAATTGCTAGGAAGAAGACGTAGTAAGGTAGGGTGGCAGCAGGAAAGTTGTCAGAGAGGATCTAGATTCGAGATCATTCCGAGTTCCATGCAACAATTATCTGAAGCCCCTGAATAAAGCATGCTTCTCTGAACGTGAATTGGCAAAATAATGCGTTGAAGTAGACTTCGTTTTGTTGGAATGCAATGTGGCAGAAGCGATGCCAGTACTTGGTACCACCTGCATTGCCTTCTCATCCATCTATTGGTCCATGAGGGAGCGTTTCTTTCCCCGTTGTCGAGTGGGATCTGGATTATTCTGCAATTCAATGTCCTGCTCGGAAGACGTTATCCAACTATCTTGCTCAACCTCTTCGCGGTACGGTTCCTCTTGCGTAGGTACCTTACCTAGGGAATGCCATTCTTGGACACAATCACGTGAAATATAAGAAAGCACGTGATGTTAGGGGGGTTCCATTCCATTGTTCTGGTCTGACATTGACTTAAGAGCTGCTTTCGGAAAATATGTATGCTTTCTACGAGGCTATACAGAATATTTCTCCCCATCACGCCACTACTCCCTCACAGCAAAACTTATGCAACCCCCATCCAGCCTGCTGATGCTCCTTGCAACAATACCTAACCACCTTCACCTTACAAGCCTCGCAACGGAACAGCTCCTGGCCGCCTTTCCCACAATGATCACACCAACCCTCCTCATTCCTCCTCAACCAACGACGCCAGGCCCGCTCCGCGCAGGCCTTCAACCTCTCTTCGATCTCTTTTGTTGGGCATATGCCACGTATCAAAGTTTCTCGATCCATGAACGTAAGTGCCGCCGTGCCACACACCCTTTTCATGGAGCTCAAAAACTTCTCTAGCGTTCCTAGGAAATAATTTTCACCATAAGTGCCCCTCCCCGCCTCTCCGTACTGCATGCGCGTCATATCGACTACTGGAAAAGTCTCCTTGTCTACTTCCGGGCGAGTGAACAGTAGGACGCTGTGAAGCTCGTCCTCTCTAACACCTGTATACATGTGCATGCGCGTCGCAAAATTCCAAAACATACTGCGGAGTTTTGGCCCCTTGATGAGAAAATTCAGAATATAGCCAGCGGAGGTTCTGACTATGACGGGTTTCTGCATGTTTCGGAGGGTTAGCAAGCATCACTAGAGTAGAAGGGTAGGTGTGGAAACATAATCACCTCGTCGGCAATCTGGATCGAGACCGTCTGGTCTGGGGGACAAAGACTAAAAAAGAATTGGTAGAGTCCAATGGCTTCAAAGCAGCCATTATGACCATGCATCACATGGTAGATGAGTTCCCGCCAAGCAAAGCTGAGGGCCCGTGTGTCAGGATCTGCATCAGGATGGATATCACAAGTCGTTCTCGGATGCTCAAAATCCAATGACTCAGAGTACGCCCCGAGAAGATGGCAGTCCGTTCTCCTAAATACTCCGCGAGTCAGGAAAAATCTCTGAGTGTGGTCACTAAGGGAAGCGGGAGTTTCTTCATATACATACTCAATCGTTGCAGGTCCTGGTATGAATTGTGAAGGATAAAGCATCATAAGGCGCTGGGTTAGGCCGGGATCAACAGTGCTCGTATCCAAAATACATGCGTTTGGGAATCTTGTGTCCGAGATCATCCTCTCGTAGTTGAGAAGGACTGTGAGGGTCCTTAGTGGAATCGGTTCTATCGGCTCCATTGTTGAAGTTCTCTGGCTTTAAACTACCATGTAATGACCCTGAAGAAACAATAGAAAGCAAAGTACGTCGATAGGTTCAAGGAATAGTTATCTACTGTTTACACATTGAACCCCTCTTGGCAAGTCATATTGGGGAAGGAGCACCGGGTGACCTCTTGTGCCTACCTGGATAGTTATTTGGACAAGCTAGACCTCTCTATACCCAGCTTACCTGTCAAAATTCAAATTAAAACCATATTAACAGAAGAAGGTCCACTTGAACTTTATCAGATCTTGAGCCAGAGCAATCACCTGATCAAGTCAAGAAAATTCAAAGCTCAGCCGAGTCAACTTCTTTGCCTTGACCACAACGTTTGCATAATCAACAGCACAATGAAACGACGGCTACATAAAGGATCAGAGCGACGAAACATCAGATCATAACTATTTCAACGCTTTCTTTCCCAGAAAGATCAATTACATATAGCTGACTTGTTGACCACAAATTCGAGGCTTTGTAAATCCAGACTAATCAAATGGTGTAATCGTATCTGTCTCAAAGAATAATGTATCACGAATAAACTCATGATCACGGCAACATCGCCGCGAAACGAGTAGCCAAGGCAGCAATACTAAATCCCAAAATAATGCTCGCAGTAGTCGAGATGGTAGCCGGCATGGAAGAATTTGCTGTAGCGCTTGGTATCAAACTGGAGATGGCAATCGATGGTTTCTCAGCAGTTGTGTAGCTCGAACAGGTGACGTTGGGAGCAATTGGGCAGGTAGAATGAACGCAGATGGCTTGGAGAGCAGGATCCTGTGCTGAAACAATTGTTGCCGATAGAGAGCATCCATACGGCATACCGAAGAGACAGTTCAAGGCATCGCCAGCAACAGTGGGACCAGATTCGATGACACCAAAGGAAGCCGTGGACATGGCGACTTGTTGGATGAAACCTACGACTTCAGCGTAAGAGAGATCCATGGACCGAGGGTTGTTTGCGGGTGATTAGGTCCTCAGGAGCGTCGACTTACTTATGGGCTTCGTACATGGAAGTCTGACCGTATGCTGTAATTCCTGGGAAAGCAGAACCTCCTGGTATGGACGATGAGATATTTGCACACCACTTAATTCTGCTATCAATCAATACTGGGGCTGCAGATGTTGTACGTGCACCCCTGGCATCTGGAAAAGTTGACGATTTCTGATAAGATAGGTCTTTGACAGGGTTGGGAAGTATCGACATCCCGAAGAAGGTTCGCTACGCACAGGGGTCCCGCTCTGGAGTCTGGGTCATCATGAAGGGGGAGCAGCTAATAATGCATATATATCGACTGTCGACCTGAAACATGTCATCCATGGTTGTCTCTTTTCAGGAATTCGAATGCTGGTACTTGGAAGTTGGAACTTGGGCGAGGCCGTCTGGTTTGTCCCTCATACCCTTTCTTGATGTTCGATCCACTCCGTCTTGCTTTCTGACCTTGGAAGTATGTCCAGAGGGTTCCAAATACCATCTTGTTGTCAACTTGTCCGTATTGTATCCATCAAAGCATACCCCAAGCGTCCTGACGCAGATCTAGTGGGCCTAGTGTCCGAAGCATGGGGAAGCATGGGGAAGCTTAAATCCTACCGCCAATAAGACCCTGGTAATCTACGCCAACCGAGTCTGCTATACCAGAAGAGACCATGTGGCGTCGCGCTTGTATCTGCCATAGCCGTTCCGAAGATGGCTGTTCCAACAAGCGTGAAGATTCTGAGCAAATCTGGTGGGGAGTTGTTCCTTTTTGGCTGGCGAGCCATGTAAATAGGCCAGGTTTTAGAGTGCGACTACAAGGGGAGCTCAAGAGACCTGGTCAACATTTTCCTCTCCACTCCTTTAGATGTCTGGTTGTCCTTCGTGCCAAATCCGGGTCTTCATGCACAGAAGAATTGCTGCGGCCAGTTCGATCATTATATCATTATCAATGAAGTTTCATCTCCAACAGCTATCTATTGCAGGTCTCGACGTACCGTATATGAGCACCGCTGCAGCCTCCCCAAGTCGGTTCCTTTCAGTTCTTTTAGATGAGCACAAGCAAGCCTGGCAAGATCATCGATGGTATTTCGGACTTTCCCTATCGAGCAGGATGAGTCCATGATTTCATTTGACAGCGTACCTTTATACCCGTAAGTATGGGAGCAGGTATTCTAGCTCCACAACATTCCACACCAGTTGTTAAGCATAGAATGGACCAGAATCGTAAACACACATACCCGCCTCTTATCTCTGACTCGCCACAGAAAACGCATATGCCTGGTCTCAGCAGGACATCATGCATTGCCATAGAAGTGGATGGAATACTCTTCTACCTCCACTCGATCATTCTCTCCGACTGCTTCTTCACGCGTCCTTCAATATGCCTTGCGTTAGAATAAAATCATTACTTGGTAGTAGATTTTCTTTCGACCAACCCGAGAATCCCACCAAACAAACTCAACCAAATAAAAGTCAAAGACGTAGAAACCATAAGCCTAGCTGCCCATATTTACAGGGACCCCAGACGCGTGCTCGACCCACATCTACTGGCTCTGGTACTTCAGGGACTTGTGGTCCAGTGATGAAGATTCCAATCCAGAGGACAGCACCCTGAGTTAAGGAGAAGGTTCACCTAAAGCAAATTTCGATACGCAGACACAGAGGAGAAAAAAAGTCATCGCATGTACACTAGACTCGAAAGGAGTTGCCGCTGGCCAGTCTCTGTAGAGCAGGGTTCGCGTCGAGGTAAGAGATCAACAGTGCTGTGGGTGCCCATTCAGCGTTGAAGGAAAATAGTCGTAGGAGTTCAATGATTATAAGCCGTACGCTTGAGGACTTGAGGTGATTCTGTAACACATGGGACCAACTAGGTACAAAAATGAATGGCGCGACGGCCTCCTCGGACCTAAGTACAGCACCAGGTTGACGATCGCATCGTTAGAGACAGGCTTAATTGCATCTGGACACTAGGCAAGGCGATATAACAGAAGAGTTGCATTCGTTAGTCGGCTGAATTGATGTGCAATCATTGAGATAATGATGTGTGTTGATACCGGTGGTAGTTTTCTTCGACCGCGTCAACGCGAGCCGTCGCGCTACTCCAATCAGGGTCCAGGGTCTAATGGCAGGGTTCGGCTCCCTTCAAGATATGCCTTTAGCTCAGAAGCAAAATGTCTCGGAGTATATCATGGGAAATGGCCTCGAACTTTCGATTTTTTTTCGAATGGGTTTTCGTACATTTCGCGGGGTTTTTGTGTTGAAGGGGATCTCAAAATATCCTGGGCCTGCCAATCAATAGTGTGGCTTGACGTCGCTGGAAGATCGGCGTCGGACGCGACAGATTCGGAATCGCAGCCATAGGACGTCCGGACTCAATATATCTCCACCATCCGCTGTACATGACACTCGACTGTCTGCCATCCTCGACCGTTCTTTCTCTTCCTCATCGTTGCGCATTTCCTACTTCTAAGTTGTCCAAGTCTTCCTTTTCGCTTTATTTTTCGGACATCGCTCTTTCGTCCAGTTTCCGCGCTTCAAACATCCAAAGCCAGCCACGCTACAATCGCACAATCCCAAACCCTCTAGACGGCCATGAAAGAGACGTCAAACAACTCCATCCTCACGTTCACATATTCCCTTCTTCCGACGAAGCTTTCTCTCAAGCATCTCTCAAAAAATTGCAATACTAACCAACAGCCTCACTGCTCAATTCAACGATGGATCCCTCCAGCCTCCCCAATCTCATCCCACGAACGCACATACGATCGGCCTCCCGGTCTCCAACCAGATCCCCCGCCCGCCCGCGCCTAACAGACGATATCCTGTCCGATCTCTCTCCCGCAACAACTCTCGAAGCGTTTACCAGTCCGTCCGGCAAGCTGAAAGCCAGTATCGAGGCCGCGACACCCAGCGAGCGCGCTTTCGGCATCAGAGCTACATTGGCAAGCAAAAAGATACAAGAATGGGTTGAGGAAGTTTCCGCTTGGCCATGGCCGAAGAGCGGGGGGAGTGAGGGCTTCGAGATGCCAGATGCAAAGAGACGGAGGATATCTCCAGGACCGCACGACGCTCCGGGCGGCGGAGACACCGATATAGGAAGCGAATATATGGGAAGCCTCCTCGCAAAGGACGTATATGCGTACGAGATGCGAATAGAGGAGATACATGAAGATATGGACGATCTACACGTCGAAGAGATTAAATCCACCGTCTTGAACACCCATTTCTCCCCGAGATCGCGCCCTTCTTCTTCCGCATCCCATAGCTCCAATTCTTCGCTCACGCCGAGTCTGCTCTCTAGCTATACAAGAATGGACGACTTTACTGCTGTAGTCACTGCGACGGTGTTGCAGGCGCTGCCGAATCTATCCAGGCTGATACGACTAATGGATGTTTGGAGCATACGACTCTTGGTACTGAGGAAAGTGCCGCCACTGTTGGACCTTTTGGATGATGCTGAAATAGCGTTGAAGTCTGCGTGGGAGGCTATCGAAATCCCTACTCAAATGCACATACAAGAGAACAATAACAGTACCGAAGTGGAAAAGATCCTAGAGAGGAGGACATTCGATGTTATGCGGAACGACTTGCAGGACAAGGTCACGACCCTAGGGAAAGATCTGGATTACATGTTGGACACGCTAGAGGGGAGGGCTGATACACTGCCAGAGCACTGGCTGGACAGGATGGAAGTGCTGGAAAGAGAGTATGGAGAGTGGGTTGTGAGTGGGGAAAAGATCATCCGGGAAGCAGAGTGGAATAGGATGGCAAAAGCACAGAAAGCGGAGGAAGAAAGGCGGAAGGCGGAGGAAGAAGCTAGGCAGGCTGAGGAGGCAAGGCGGAGGGCGGAGGAAGAAAGGCGGAAGGAGGAGGAAGAAGCCAGGCAGGCTGAGGAGGCAAGGCTGAAGGCTGAGGAAGAAGCCAGACAGGCCGAAGAAGCAAGGTTGAAGGCGGAGGAAGAAGCCAGACAGGCTGAAGAAGCCAGACAGGCTGAAGAAGCCAGACAGGCTGAAGAAGCCAGACAGGCTGAAGAAGCCAGACAGGCTGAAGAAGCCAGACAGGCTGAAGAAGCAAGATTGAAGGCGGAGGAACAAGCCAGGAAGGCTGAAGAAGCCAGACAGGATGAAGAAGCCAGGCAGGCCGAAGAAGCCAGACAGGCAGCAGAGAGAGCGATAAGAGAAGAGGAAGACCAGTCGAGGTTAAAGGAGGAGGCAAGGCTACAGCATGAGCAGGCTGAACTAGAAGCAGAACGGGCACGAAAAGCGGAAGAGGAAAGATCGAGGCTGGAAGATATGGCGAGGTCAGAAGCTAAGATCCAGAAGGAAAAGGAGGATGCTTTAAGATTAGAACAGGAGAAAGCAACTGAATCCGCGCGGCTACAAGCTGAGGAGGCCCAAAAACAGGAGGAAGCCTCACATTTACAGAAAGCGGATGCTGCTGAAGCTGCTGACCTTGCGAGAGAATCAGAAGAGGTACGGATCCAGAGAGAGAACACCAAGTTGGAACAAGAAGCTACTCGGCCAGAGACGGGAAAAGATCAGCAGCGAGTGGATGAGCTACAGTCGAGAGATGAGGCCGAGAGAGCTGCTGAACCTGCTAGACAAGCTGTTGCCGAGGAGGCCGAATATACAAAGCTCATCGGACGTCCAGAGGCTTCTCGTCAAATCGCCGACTTCTCGGAGCCTCATGAAGATCAACCTGCAATCCTCAACACTCTTTCTGCTCTTTCTGTGGGAGCGGTTGCTAGTTTAGCAAATGTTGGAATCGATGCTGAGAAGGTCGAGACTCCCTACAGCCTTGAAACAGCAAAACCTGATACTGCATTGCTTCCAACTTCGAGATACCATCCTTTTGATGGAAACGGCTATGTGAGAAGCGAAGACTCTGATTCGCCAATCACTCCAAAGACGCCTGTTGAAACCAATCGACTTGAAAACGACGATATATTTGGACCAGGAGGTTTATACAACGACACAAAGCCCCCTAAGTACGCAGAACTACTGGCCCCAATTGCACAACATCGACGGTCTCCTCGTACACCCGCCGCACCCCTAGACTTAAATGAGACGGTGGCTCCTGTAACTCTACCTGTTCTACCTTCAGGCAATCAATCTGTCAAAGATGGAAGCTCGCCGCAAAGTCTCTCTCCGAAGATCCCTTTTGCTGATACGGTTGCCAATACGCTTGGGCATACTTCATTCCCAGATGGACCCAGCGAGCAGCATCAAGTGTCTCCAATATTGCAGCCAATTTCTCCGTACCCATTGACTCCTATATTAACTTTAAAAGCCCCCGAGAGCATTGCTTCAGCCTCGTCTAGCCCTGTCTCTGTCATTATCAACGATGGGGCCCGAGAGTACCCTGCGATGCCTCAACACGGGCATGCCGATGAAGAATGGAGCGCCACCGACTCCCCAGTGAGCAAACAGTCTGCCCAAAGTCCAGAGACCTTTGACCATGACGGCCACCGTCAACTTTCTGCCGATGGCATCTCACCCAACACCCAAACCTCAAGTCCTCCGACTTTATCCGGCTATGCACCCTCAGATCCGACGCCTGAGATTCTAGAAGCTGAACCCACTGAATATTTCCGCCCGATATTATCTCATAACACAGGTGAACTCTCCATTGACGATCGTGGCGAGCTCACAGTACCAAAATCGCTGCAGAGGCCGGCTGGCGGTGATGATTTCCTCGATTTAGAGACAGAATCGTCACCATCTGGCCCGATATTGGTACCAGAGCCCGCTCTTCCAGCTGGCCGATGGCCTCTAATGGAGCAGTCAAAGGCTGAAGAACTCGAGAATCATCTTCCAGATTCACAGTCCCGTGCGACAGCGGCCAAGACATCTGTGATTCGCAACAATAGCCCGATCAAACGCATTGGCCTATCTCATCGAGGCAGCTACTCATCCAACGCACCGACAACCATTAACACTCATCAGGCAAACTGCGTGACCGTCTACTCGACTCCTTACGCAGCATCTTCTCCTATTCCTTCATCCCCAATGTCCGTTACCGATAGCTCGGAACGTTATGATTCTCCAACCGCCGGGCGAGTTGGACACCGTCAAAGTGCATACGATTACACACCGCCAGGTTCACCGCCCCGAATACCCCCAGCCAGAGGACGCTCCCTGGCACCTTTCGATTCCCCAAACACAGAACCATCAACGCCCTCCGATCTGCCTGTATTCCCAAACATCGAACTCTCCTCTGACCTATCACCACCTAGCCCTAAGAAGCAGTCTACAGACGATCAACTACAAGCCCAAATATCGTCCCTTCTTGAATCGATTCCAGCACGCTTCCGCCTTACTTCTGAGCCACCCGAAGAACCTAACCGCTTCCCGCCCAATCATAGCCTCCGCCCGGCCAAACCCCGCTCCTCACTTCCCGCATCCTCAGTCCGCTCTCAGTCCTCCCTAAGCTTGCGTTCCCGCGCCTCTACACCAAGCTTTACTCTAGCCCCGGCCTATGGCAAGAGGGCGAGCAGGCCAAGACCACAGCCCAACAATCCAGAAATCAAGCTCTACCACCTCTCGCGTTCGTCGGGTGAAGCACCCATAAAGTTGTTTGTCCGCCTGGTTGGTGAGAACGGGGAGCGTGTTATGGTCCGGGTTGGAGGCGGGTGGGCAGATCTGGGCGAGTACTTGAAAGAGTATGCTAGTCATCACGGACGCAGGGGTGCAGGATCGGAAGATAAGGTTGAGATCCAGGATATAGGATCGAGGAATGTGTCAGGCGCAAGTATGATCTCGTCTTCTACTGTGCGTGGAAATGCGCGCGCAAGCCCAGCATCTAGGCCTTCTTCAGTCCTCGAACGCGAACGTCCTATGTCTAGCCTTTATGTGCGCAAAACGCGCAAGAGCGATGCTGATTCGACCGCCGCTTCTATCGTCAACCTCCGCTCACCTGCCACCCCGGCCGTCTTCCCCCAGACAGCCGGCAAGCAGGAAGGCAGGTATAAAACCCCTCCATCCGGAACCTCATCATCGGAAGAGAGAACCCCTTCCATATCAGGCGAGCCCGAGGAACACGAAGGCGGTCTCGGCCTGGCGGGGCCGAATGGGAAGAACGTCAGGATCAGCGAGAGGGACGCGGAGTGGGTGGAGAACGTGAAAGAGAAAGTCCGGCTAGCGTCAGCGGAAAAGGAGCGCAAGCAAAGAGACCGGGAGGAGATGGAGAGCAGGCGGGAGCGGGCCGGGTTTCGGGATCTGGATCGTGTGGGTGGCACGAAACGGTTATTTAAGAAGGGTTAACGATTGGGATTGATTTGTACGGGCTGGGATGGTAAATGGAGTTTTCGTCTTTTTCCCTTTTGTACTAAGCATTGCAGGCGTATTGTAATTATACCCTTTCATAATAGAGATAAGATCACATTTACAATCATGGAGAGAGCCTGTACAGGTCGGGAATCTCGAAATCTTGTGCATTCTATCCCATGTCCAGTCTCCGATACCCGTAGAAGATAGGAAAAAGTACAGACCATTTTATATATACCTACCTTTACCATCCATCCATGCATCTTCTAGTCCAATATTCACAGCAAGAGTCGTACGCCCCCCCAACCCCAAACTCCATCTCGCGCACAGACCACCCCCACCTCACCCGGAAAATCCCAACTTCCGCCCCCTTCCCCCTCCCTCCTTCAAAAGAAAAAAAAAATTTCACACCCACTCCCCCTCTCCAAACCCCCTCAAAAAATCCCCAAAAAGTAAAAATTAAATCTCTCCACACAGAAAGGAGGAGAGACAACAGAACATATGACCTACGCAGGGATCGAACCTGCAATCTCTTGATTCGTAGTCAAGCGCCTTGCCATTGGGCCAGCAGGCCATTTTCTTTGTGTGTTGTTGAACGGTAATTTTGTATTTCGCTATTTTAGTTAGCGATGTGGTGCGGGTGGGGGGTGGCTAAACGCTATTTTGAGGGGGGGGGGGGATTATCTGTGCTACGAGAGTCTATTGTGGATGCTGCAATGTATGATCAATCAAGATTTACGCGATTTCGTTAGCCGCTCTTTTTTTCTTATCCTTTTTCTAGAAAGAAATTCAGAGAGGAATTGGGAATTTTGAAGGGGGGGTACGATACTGTATTCCACTACCCACCCCCCCTTTAGATAAGCGAAGCTATGTCCCTTCCCTCCATACAAGAGTTGATTTTCAGCTCGGGAGATCTATAAGGATAGATTTTCATCACCAGAAATAGAGCTCGCTGTTTCATAATATTCATAATAGACGTTGTATTAATCGTACATACAGTAAGTATTTCGTGAGAAAGAAAAAGAATTGTCCCCAAAGCGTGTAGAATACGAGCTCCTGACGTATCTAGAATCTTCATGATTACGATGTAGAGGTATAAGAAGATGTTGCCATCCATGACATGCAAGATGTAGCGCTCGGGTGTTCAACTTGAGCCCATCAAGGCAAAGCCATGAACACATCCAGAAGCTTGGAGAAGATGGGGGTGCCGAGTCCTGTGACTGGATCCCAGCCCTTGACGGCGCTGAAACCGTCGGTCCCACAGCCTGGGTTATCACCTGTGGTGATCTGTGGTTTATTAGTTCTGAGTCTTGGCTTCGAAGAAAAAGATGAGGGGGAAAACGGAGACTTACATCCTTAAAGGCATCCGGGTTCTGGTACAGAACAGGGTTCACGAATCCAACGGTGCTCTTGCCAGCCGCTAGACGCTTTTCGTTGATGAGGGTGATGATGCTGGCAAAGATAGGGGCAGAGGCACTGGTGCCGCCGACGAAAGAGGGCGCGCCCTGGACGTAGAGGAGGATGTTCTGGCCGACTGCAGCGACGTCTGGATAACCACGACCGGAGGAGTTGTAGTAGGGAGTTCCATAGGCGGTAGTGTTCGTGTACGGGGGAGGGGTGTTCTCAAAGTACGAGCGCAGGGTGGATTCCTGATACGAGGGGGCGGGCCAGTAGTTGCTGAAGCCGCCGCCAGACCAGTATCCTTCTTCTGGCACTGAGACGGCGGTCTCGACCAGTTCCGTTGTGGAGTTGAGCTGCGCAGTCTTAGTTTTAGGTTCTTCATCCAAAAACTTGGGAAGGGATTACCATAGTTGCTCCGACAGATGTCAAGTAAGGACACGCGGCAGGGAAACTGGGGGAGAAAGCACCAGGGTTGTTCTCAATGGTGGTATAGTTGGTGACGTTGCTGGGCACTATGCACTCGCCACGGTTGCTGACACCACTGTCACCCGAAGCATAGATGACAGAGACACCTTGTAGACCAAGCTTCATGTACTCTTGACATTGCCTGTTCTCATAAAAGTAAGAGAAGGCATTCTCCCCGAGTCCGTAAGAAACAGAGATGACATTGGTAGGCTTGTAAGCTCCGCACATCTCTGACTGTCCCCATGTCCCGTTCGGTAACCAAGACTCATTGGCGGGGTTTGGTGCTGTGTCAGGATAACTAGAAGGAAACAAATCAGTTACAATGCTTAAGATGTAAGCCAAAGGTTGACATACTGAGGATCTAAAGTAGGATCATCGCCACCTTCATATGTGCAATACGACTGGATATTGTCAGCAAGAGGATATAGTTACTGGGGAAGGTAAATTACGGCGTCGAGTGCGTCAAGGAAGGTATTTCCAAAGCCCTGAGACAGCTCCACCTCTTTATAGTCATCGACCTGATACAATGTGGCCGCTTGAGGGTGGATCAATGGGAAGATGATTGACATGTCAAGGAGCGATTCAACTCCGATTAAGTCATCCATGGGAGCATAGCCACCATCGATCCCGTTCAGCGTCGGATGAGTCCCGTTTGGGACGTAAGGCGCGAGAGCAGCAAAGGTGAGGTCGAGATCTTCTTGGTCATAGTAGTCACCATCCTCAAAAATGCCAATCTCATTACCAGTCTGGTTGGTAGTGCCCATGGGAATGCCGTACAGTTCTGTTCTCGTCAGCAATGACCTTAGGGCGTGTCTGGAATGGACTTCAATCATGCAGAAGTTCAGAACCAGGGTTGAATATACGTACGTCTGATGCAGTCTGGTGTGACTGCCAGATAACAGGGTACTTCCGAACCGGAGTTTCCAGAAACACTCATTTGTCTCCCCCCAGTCTCAGCTGGAGTCACATGAGGGTCTAATCTGGCACGGGAGAGACTGGCGAGTTTAGAACGCTTCTTCATCTTCTCTCCGCCCTTGAGTTTGGCAAAAGTTACCGTTGGGGTGATAAGGTCGATATGCTTCTGGATGTGACGGGGAACGTGATATTCATTGCAGCCGATATGCTGTTCCATCGTGTCCGAATGCTCGTAGATGTGATATTCCGTAAACAACAGAGATTCCAATTCCTCGACGGTAGCATCGAATTTGAGCCAACCTCGACCAGGCGAGACCGAGTGCCTATCTGACTCGATGCCGGAATTGTGAAGCCATTCACGTACCGCATCAATCGACTCGCTCGACGGTCTGAACAGATCCCCAACTTCCTGGGCGCTCAGATACTGTCCATACTTCTCCGAATTGGGGTCAGAGATCTCCATGAGACGCTCATGGCCAACGTCTAGATTGTTCTGGGCCATGCCGATTCGCACCGGCAAACTGGTCTCTGGCGGTGCTCTCGTTCTCTTGAGCCATTGAGGTGAAGGGGTCCGTTTCTCGTGACGAACACGTACATGGGGAGCTGGACTGGCAATGGAAAGACCAATGCTGAGCGCAAGGGCGGCGAGACTCAGAAGATGCATGGCGACCAGAGTACGGAGGTAGCACGCTGGGTTGAGGTCCTGAATTGAGAAAGAAGAGAAGAGTCCAATGCCAAACAATTTATATCGATCTCGAATTCTCACATCTGATTCACTATTCTAGGAGAGCCTATCAAGACGAGCAGTGTCGTGTGCCGGGCCTGTAGCGAACATGCCTCCCCTCCCCAGTACGTACCGTTCCTGTGGGGATCGGCAGTTGCGATGCTTCTGCTTGGTCGGCGCCTGCTTAAAAATGGGATTTGGTCCTGAGATTCACATCTTTCCACCTCCATGCAGAAGGTGCTATGCTTCCGGCTTCGTATTCAGGCACTCGCGCTCCAACTCCCAGTCTGCGCGGCAGTAAAAGGCTTGGCAGCTTTTAAAAGTCTGTAAGACGGGCCAAGTGGGGAGAACGTGGGGTATAGCATGTTGTACGTATACTCCGTATAAGCATATCAACCAGAGGCAGTGCCTGAAAGAATCTGACATGTCAGGGACTCAGGGGTCTACGGAGTATGCAGGGTATTTTTCTGGAAAGGCGGCTATAGTGCTGGCCTGAGACATATACAGTACGTACCTGGTATATATGCTACCTACAAAGCATTTAGACTTTTGTTTCTGGCTTGGGCATGGACATCCAACAGCAGCCTCTCAATGGAGAAAGTGGTAGAAGAGACTCCAGACTAGGATGCTCTTGCCAAGATCTCCTCTGCACTCATCCCAGCAAACAATTGCGATAGGAGCCATGATACTGCATAGGGAGTGGCCGGTTCCTCGTATCGATCGTTGGACAGGAGTTGCGGGTACGGATTTGCATGATGTCTTAAAGACAAAAGATGGGCCAAACCCCTCGAATTAGCCCGTCCGGCCAATCAAGCTCGTGTCTCTCTCTCGATCGACAAGCTTAGCTTCAAGATCACCAGTCAGTGAAAATCCCGAAACACCGTCCGGCTTGTCTCGCAGAACGCTCGTATATCCCGCAGAGCTGGCTCAAGAAGCATGTGATATGGGATCTCACTGGGGTCCTTCCACAGACTGCTCGGGTTACCAACAAACCTTTGGCATTGTCGTCGAGTCGTTGACCGGCTACTCCGTACGGTCAGCCTTCTGTTCGGTAAGGTGCAGGGTTTGCGGCGATAAGGACAGGCGACAAGGTTGACAACAACAACACAATGGCGGACAGGGGAAAGCTGCAACTCGCAAGGGGCATGATTCCTGAATCCTGCTCACTCTCTGATGATGGACTGGGACGAATCGCATACTCTGTCAGGCATGGACGCCACGTATATCATCGATCTTATCATCCTCGCTCGTCTGTGCCGCCCGTATATGTATTAATAGATACCTTTCGGCATCGTGCAGGAGGGCGGCTACCGGTCGGCAGTCCCTAAATACTCCGTATACGGAGTGAAACATCCGCATAATCGTCTGCCACTGCATCTTTAAAATGCGTCATATATTTGTAGTTACATATAATTATCATAATGTTACAGTACTATTATGTGTATTCGGCCTCCCATACCGCCAATCCTTCGCCCGTCAATGCTGTATTAAGCGAACCCCTTTTCCATCCCCAATCCCCCCTTTCGCTTCTGCCTTGAATCCTCCATGCAAACTCCCTGTCGCTACCATCCTGTATACCAACACGTAAGTCCTTGACAGCGTATCCTGAGCTGCTTGTATTACATCATATCTTGTACGTGATAGAGGTGGATTCGTAGGTATAGGTAGATGACACGTCACACGTGATCTCCACACCGCAGCAGTGCAGCTCCTCTTTCACGTATTACCTGGGTAAAAACGCGCGTCTGAGATTGGGAGTTAAGCTGTGAGTTCTATCTGACATTTGATTCTACAGTTTGGGACCGGACCGTCCACGTCTTTCTAGGGAACGTCTGGAGGCTTGTCTGGAAGTTCGATGAAATTAATGACATCGCTGAGATTGTAATTGCATCAAATCAATGCTGAAAAGATAATGTGGTAGAAGCTTACTGCTTTTCCTACACAATTAAACTCAACTAGTTAAGTTCGAAATCTCAAGCCCGATACAGTGCAGCAGCTGAAACTCAAAAGCTGGGCGTTTCGATTAAACAATATGTACTCAGAAAGTATATTATAATATGATATCCCCAATCAACGCCGGTGCAAATTACCACACCCGTCATATCTCATACATGCATACCCTTCGTACAACTTCGTTACTTCTTATCGTTGAGCTCATCCAACTGCTCCGAGAAATTGCTTGTCCGCCCCGCACTAGGTGTCTGGCTCGTTGGCTCCTTTGTGGTCTTCACACCAGGAGCTTCACCACTGGACTGATCGACCACGTCTGAAGGTATCAACGGACTCACAGTCCCCGGCTTCTTTTCTTCTCCGGTGGTAGCTGGAGGAGACGGGAGCGTCGGCCCTCCTTCTGCGGGTGGAGCATAGTTCCCATCCGTGCTAAGGCTTGTCTCACTTATGCCTCGAAGGTGTCCATGATCGGTGTCTGATGCACTAGAGACTCCGCTCGTGACCTGGGCATTGTCGGGTGCGTTCGTAGGTGAGCCGGCGGGAATAGCGGCGAGTTCTGGTAGTGGAGAGGAATTCCCTGTTGTTCGGGATACCGTACTGATGCGGGAGCCTTGCGAGGCATGAGATGTTACCGAGGGAGAAGCGGCAACTCCACGATTTGAGGACTGGTTCAAAGGGACGAAGCCCGTGTCGTGGAGCTCGACGGGTATGGATGTATCTGTTTTTTTTTCGTTAGGTTTGAACTTGTTTGTCAGGGGGGAACGTACCCATCATCTCGTGTACTTGTGCCCCTCCCGCTTCGGGAAGTACGTAAGGCATTCCGTACTCGTCAACTGTTACGGGTGTCTCGTCTGTGGTCATAGTAGGAGCTTTGGCGTCAGCTGGTGTGCTGCGGAGCCAGCTGGTTACCCAGAATCGATTGTCCACTGTGGCGGCTTCGCTCCCTGTGGTGGTGCGGTTCATTCTGAGGAGTCTTCTCCGACGCCAGAGCAGGATCGCAAGGATGACGAGAGTTATGAAGAATAGTCCCAGAATAACGGCAAGCACAGGTGCCAAATAGGAAGGCGTGCCGGACTTGTTGTGGACTGGAGGTGGGAGTACGGTTGGACGGCCGCTGGAGGTTGGAGTCGCAGCTGCATACGGATACCAGTTTGTGATCTTGGAAGAGTTATACGCAGAACCCAATAATGCTGTCATGTTAGGGCTGGCAAACCCCGTAGGTGAAGGGGCTGATAGCGTGGCCCCGCCCGTCCCATTTCCACCGATCTTTGAGACGACTAAATCTGGTACCTGATAGTTACTCGACACCTTTGGATCGTAGGAATCCAACCATTCGCCACTGCTGAGGTTGAAGACCTGGATTATTCCTCCTTCAACACAATTTAAACTGAGTCCCGCTTGGGAAGTATATCCACCTATGACAAACATCTGGTCCGGATAAGGCTTCACACATCTATGCCCAGCCCGTGCGTGGGCTGCTGTTCCAGTGCTAAGCTTCACCCAGATGAAGGATGGGATGGACAAGACCCAAACATCATCATTAAAATCGCCTTGCGGATGAATTCCATCAAAACCGCCATACCAGTAGATATTGTGGCTGGAGCTATCTTCCGCCGAAGCCACTACCGTGCATCCTTGTGCTAGAGCACCTGGGGCACCTGTTGTTTCCTGCTCATACCAAACCTGATTGGCAATATCATAAACGGAGACGGTTGACATGAAGAGAGGACTCTGTCGTGTCTATAACCTTGTTAGTAAACAATAAGAATGGGGAGGGAAGAACCAACACTAGCAGCATCATCTGTGGCATTATTCGTCTGGTTGATCGTGGCATACGAAGGGTTAATCACCCCACCAATCCCTACCAGGATTCCCTTCTCTGAAACAGGCAACCACACTAGCTCGGCACTGGCACGGCCAGGAACTGTAGTTGGAAGTGTGTGGTTGGTCCACTTCTCCTGCTGCTGAATAGTCATATCCAACTCAATCAGCGTTGGTGACAGGTAATCTGCATTCAAAGACTCATTCGCAGGATACTGATAGATTTCTCCCCCAGTCTCGGACTTCAAACCACCAAAGTAGAACCCAAGGTTTTCTGAAGGGACACTGACGCCTGCACCATACGTAACATATCGTGTCATCCCACTTGGTAATGAATCCAGAATAAAGCCCGGCTCGAATCGCTTTGGCGGCCCTGATGCATACACCTCATAAGCTGCAACTGAGTCAGATGGAGGAGGCTGAAAAGCATCAGTCATTGCTAACAACCCTCCGTATGTGAACCATTCATAATCATTGGCAAACATCGTTCCGTCGTAATAATTCGGTCCAATGTTATTAGCTGCCCCGCCATTTGCAGCTTTTGATATATTGGTAAATAGAGAGGTTTGATTGAAGTCCTGTGAGGTTTGAAAAGGGAGGCTGAAGTTGAGGAGATAGACGAGGCCAAGCGGATTCCCTTCGCAGAGTGAGCTTTCATATTCAAATTGAGAATTCTGCTTTCCCCGTACCGTCTGAAACTGGGGTACCATAAGTACCATCCGCTAAACCAGGCTCCCACCATAAATAACCTCCATCGATGTAAACTGTATCCCGAACAACGCCAGCTGTTCTCGTCAGTATCATTGAGGCCTTCATCTCATTACCAGGTAAGCATACCACGAGGTGTTACCCATTGGCACATAGTTGTGTTGACCTGGTCCGCTTGCCATCCCACCGATTGTGCGGCGCAAACTTGCGCAATGAGCGTCGTAGCCAGCACCGAGACTCGTAACCTGATCATGATGAATTACATATGAAATCAGATGAAATCAGACGAGCGATCGCGACAGCCTTTGGAGTTCAATTCAATTTTCAGAAGTCCCGATTCATTATGAATAGAGGATGCACGATACTCTCTTGTTACCTATGAGTATTCGTTAAGAAAGCTCAGTAGAGTTGTGGTCCGTCAGCTCGATCATACAAGCATTCTGCATCCCTTGCCTGTTGGATGTAGGGCCGAAAGGCTGACTGGGGAGCAAGAGGTATTGGTTCTAACTGCTGACGGGACGAAGAAGCGGGTGCCATAGCAGAGCGACCCTCGTCGGGACCGAACCTAGAGGTGTGCCCAACCAAACTCTGACCTAACGGTGAGCAGACATGGTGGCAGAGGGGTAAGAGATGCCTGCACTTGCAGATGCGCAGGCCAGGGCCTTGAGCAAGGGATTTGACTCAACCGTCAACGAGTCAATCCCGTGGCATCAGCATCCCTGCAAAAGAATCACTTGTACAGAAGTACATAACTGACCCATCACTACTATCTCTGACGTGACAGCACACTTGGATGGTCCTCCTTCGAGCTCTCCCCGCAACCCCACCTTCAATCAACATGAGATCGTCGCGACGTTGCAGCCATTTGGGGCTGGAAGAGGGAGCTCCTATCCCGAATAGCAATCATCCGCATAAGCAGACCTGACAGTGAACGAGTGAAATGAAGATCGAACGTCCTACTTTGACTTCTTTACGAAAGACGGGATTCCCGTGAGGGGTTCTTTGCAGCGGGCTACCTCTGTATGTGCACGGCTGAGCGGCGTAGATCTTGCCATCTTCTCAGGCAGGCCGGGTGACGGGGGCCAGGGGTTGGTGAACAATAGTAGTGATGGGCACTTATAAAGACCCCAGTGCGGCTCGGGCAGGCGGGTAAGGACTGGGTCGTGGGTATTAGTGTTGGTGTTGAGGAGAGCGGAGAGCAATGGCAGAGAAACATTATTGGATGTTATTGTGTGTCTGCAATGCATTACTAAGATCTTCGTAAGCAGCACTGGCTCTTCGTCCAATAGATAGGGCGGGAGATTGTCGTGACCTTGGCATTCTCTATGATCCTGCGTACTTCCAACCAACGACAGCCCGACAACAGAACAAATTCTGCTCCTCAGGATAGGTAGTTCTCACGCTACATCTCCTCTCTCTTCTTAGTTCTTACCTCTCCGTGCCCCCTACCCGCATGGCTGCTGCAGCCATATCCATGTACGATGCAATACTGTACCCTGGGATTATGCCACACCGTGCGGCCGCACTTGGCCCGACTCCTACTACAGAAGGGCTTGACTACCCGTGTAGTCTCTTCGCTTTTATACGGTGTACGGTTGTATGCAGAGTATCGTACATCGAGTAGTGTACGATATACACGCTCTTCTGCCCTCTTGCTGTCCTAATCAGATAGATATGGCCTCGGTCGAGATGACAAGATGAAGACCTCACGTCAGCAACCATCTTAGATGGCTCGTATGTCCGACAGCTGTAGCCTTACTTTGTCCGTAAGGGCTGCAAACACAACCGTTGTGCGAGATCTTCTCTCGCTGCGTGTTTAGCCTAGGGTTACAGCCTGCATTGCTTCCTGTTGAAGATCGGGTTCTAGGATCGACTAATATGAATATCAGGCACACCTTGATACCTTGAGTCATGATTGGGGACTGGAAGATTCAAACCACAGCCACATCGGCATACAAGTACGATGTAGGATCGGCTGAGGCTGATCGACGGATATGACCTCGGGGATGATTGTCCGATCTAGCTTTTACGCCGTTCCTCGAGGACATCCCGATGATCCTTGTACATCAGACCCTTGTCTGTCTGTTGCTAACTTGCCGCCTGCTATCACGTTGCAGTCCAGCTATGGGAATAAGGGCCCAAAGGTATTTTCTTACCGCTCATGTTCACCCCAAATGTTCTCAGCAATTACTGGGGTCCCTTAGCTGTTTTCCTTTTACGGAGTAGGGACCTATGGGGCTCGGGCCATTTTTTCTGATGCCTATGCTACCTGCGGAAATCTGGTAGTAATTCATGCAGGCCATCTGGGGATGCCACAGTTCTGGAATCAGCTACTTTAAATCTAATTGGTTACCTAGCAGAAAGCAGACTTGTAGGGTTGTCAAAATCCAGTCTGGGCTGACTCGGCCTGATTCTATATCGTATAGGCACACCCCACTCCTCAGCTGTAGTCAGTTGTTATTTCGTTCCAGAAGTACTTTCCAGACTTCTTCTCACGCTCGCTCATAGACCTCAGCAGTTGCTGATTTCGAGATCCTTATTTCGACATATTGGAAGCAAGAAATCAGTTTGCAATGGTTTTGAGATTGGCATTGTGGGCATTGCTGGGAGCTTTTGGGATCGCTCAGGCCCAGAATGACAGCGCAGCTAACTTGCCGGCCATCACCAAAGGCATGGTCCCAGCCGACGGAACAACCTGGGTATGTTCTGTAAAAAACGCCATCGATTTGAAGACTAAGACCTTAATTGCGACCTGATAGTATTGCGAGCCGACCACAGTGGTATCAATATCAATATCAATATCGCTCTCAGTACAGGTTGAAACTTTCTAGTGGGTTTTATCTCTGATAATAATTTTAATCTGCTAATAAACACAAAGCGAAACGGAGACTTGTACCACCACAGTATTGTAAGTTCCTTAATGCTAGAAATTGTGTTGGTGAAACTTACAAAGTTGCAGTGTTCCGACAGACATTTATATCACGGTATGCTCAACCTCATAGGGTATCTACAATAAGTCTAACCGGCAACTAGAAAACAAAAGAGACTACTATAACGAAGGATATATACCTGACTTCGACCAAGGAGCACACTGCGACGGTGACAGACGTGTCGACATCTACTTCGGATATCTATCTACCCACAACCAAGACAGACTCTGTCACAGAAACAGTGCATGCAACGGTAACGGATGTATCGACTGCTACTTCAGATATCTATCTATCCACGACCACGACCACGACGGATTCTCTCACAGAAACTGTTAGCACGACGGTGACGGATGTGACAAATTCTACTGTGGATATCTATGTACCAACGACCAAGACGGATTCTTTTACAGTAACAATTAGCACAACGCTGGATGTATACCATTCCACTACTGAAACAGACACTGTGACAGAACCTGGGCAAACGACCACCGAACCTGGGACAACCTTCACTCAACCCGGAATCACCGTAACTAGTCCCGGTACTACAGTAACTCAGCCTGGGAAAACCGTTACCCAACCAGGGACTACTGTTATCGAGCCTGGAACAACTCAAACTGTCACAGAAAGCGCCCCAACTGTCACTGTTTATGGGATAGTAACTTGTCCCCCACCGTCGAACACCGCTCCGGTAACGCCTCAAGCTACCGGCGCCAATGCGCTCTGGGGTTGCAGTCCGGGATATGTTTGTAACCCTCCAAAACCAGGTAGCTGTAATCTGTTTGCAAATCCCCCAAGCTACGATTATCAGTGTGACGCTGAATACTGCATACCGGCCCCCGCATTTACTGATGTCGCTTGGCCGTCTAACGAGACAGCCTACTATCCACCTACGGATGGATATTTCAACCTGAATCCAGAGGCCTTTGGATTAAGCTATGATATTTTCGTTGAGGAGGTAGTTGTCACCTATGTAACTGAGAGCTATGGTAGCAAAGTCTTGACTACCTATACGACTGGAGATTGGACATCACAAGCATCAATTTCCCACTTTGCTGCTCCATCAGCAGCAGCGAAGAAGCGAAGCCGCCCATTCATTCACAAGCGTGATGGGACCATTGTCCCTGCAATTTGCTATAATGAGTGTAACAACTGTTACATCGAAGCCCTTCGGGTTGGCTTGTCACCCGCGCTCTGTGACCCAAACTCTGCATTTATGTCGGACTACAAGGCATGCAATGATTGCGTGCTAAGCAATGGGAACTCGACTAAGGGATCGCCGAAGGTCTACTTGGACCCCGAGTTTGCTCCTTTTGTCAGCTTCTGTTCAGCTTCACCCGCGCAGTCTGAGGTGACATCGAGCACATCGTCCACTGGAGTCACATCTCCACCACCCGTTACGAGCACCAGCGTTCCTACCACGCGGGGTCCAAGTACAAGCCTGGAATCAGTGGATACGAGTACAACTCCGGTTCCTATCTCAACATCTACGTCTTCATCAAGCCTGAGTTCCACCACTCAAAGCGGAGTAACTAGCTCTCTGTCCACCCAATCTAGTACCGCGCTTGGCACATCGTCCAGCACCACGTCCAGCACCACGTCCAGCACTACATCCAGCACTACATCCAGTGCTGTATCCAGCACTCAATCTAGTAGTGCTGGATCTAGCACTCCGTCAAGTACTGCATCCAGTACTGCATCTAGTACCTCGCCTAGCACCACATCCAGTGCCTCATCCAGCGTCTCAGTCAGTCCCCCATCCAGTGCCCCATCCAGTGCCCCATCCAGCACCTCCCCCAGCACTGCAGCTGTTACTAGTATATCCGGCACTTCGTCTGGCGCCGCACACAGCACACCGATCGGCACGATATCTAGCACAGTACCCAGCACAATAGGAGGGACCCCCAGCTCGACGACAACCGCGCCACCACTACAATTCACCGGTTCCTACGCGACCAATATCCGACCTCCTACATTCCTAGCATTGATACTTGTAGTGTCCTTGCTATCATTCCTGCTTTAACCCAGGAACCCTTTGTACTGCTTTTTCGGCGTTTGGATTGCATTGTCCATCTTCGGCGGACTATTTTAGCAAAAAGAATACCCGGTTTCATATCATGAATTACGACTTGTATCAGGTACCACATTATGATACCCACGATCATTTACGACAATAACGGCATATATACGGAATTATTATGCTTACACTCATTTACGACTCATCGCCACGGCGTCTAGGATTGGATATATTGGCAATGGAAAATCCTACCTAGTTTTTGTTGGCCGAGGGAAGCTTGGGCCCAAGGATTTGAACAACTTTTTAGGATTTCATATTCTACATAGCTCAAATTCTGGGGTACCTGCTTTTAATAATAAAGTAATATTGAGATTTAATCTATGACTTTGGTTCGAATGAGAGAGAGATAATGGCTTTGAGTCGTCCCATCAAATTGACTAAAAAATGACTTCTACTCTTTACCTTTTATATTAGTAGGGGTTTTGACTCGTTTGCAATTCCAGTACAGTGCATGACCCATACTGCTTGATGAAGGTGAAATGTGATTCCGTGAACCCCTATTTTCGTCGACTGAACTTGGAAAGGAGATTAAGAAGTTTATTATTTAACCTGTAATTGCTCTACATTTTCTTATACAGAACTTGGTCACTTGATTCTATTTTGATAAAAGGAATAACCAAAAATGTTATTGATAGTTAAACCCGTGGCTCGGGAAAAGGGGGGTCGGAAGAAAGGGGGTGGTGCGGAAGACCAAGAAATAATCCGAGGGGTGGCGAGGCTTGTAGAATCACGTGAATCGCGGCCCGAAAATCCAGGCCCGAAAGTCCCGTTCTCCCGGCCAGCTCCGACCAAAATCAAGAGGGCCGACGACCTTCATCAACACAACCTCAATTGAACTCGACGTCAACATCGCATCCCCAACCTTTCACCATGAGTAGCTCTGTGCGTCTACCCCGCAGCTCCCGACCTCGAAATTATCATTTGCTGACATTGTTTGGGAACAGGTCTTCCCCAAATACCCTACCTACAGGAGCCCTTACGGCCCAAAGTACGTTTGACCCAGGTGTTGTTGGCGACGTGGAGGCATTGTCCGGATTAGCGGATAAGCTGCGAAGGACCTGCAGATGATATCGCATGGGACAGGAGAGGGAATTGAGTGAGTTGGACGGGGCTGACTAGGACGCAGGTACACAGTGCCACTCAACTACCGGGGGTGGACGGTTCAGAGCGCCGCAAGACTGTACGTTTTCTCTTTCCTCTCGGAACAGAGGCTTTAATTGCCCTGCGAACTTGTCCACAGTCCACCGGATACGCTGGTGATATGAAAAGGGATTAGGCTAATACATGAACGACAGTGGTGCCACCCTTGGAGCCTTCGGAGGTGTAGCTGGTTTCTTCGCCCTCTTCTTCTTTGGAGAAGTGCCAAGAGTGCGACAGGATATTCTGCAGGTATGTTGGAATTCTAAGTGGAATTAGAGGGGCAGATACTGATAGAAGAACAGAAAGTGCCAGTTATTGGCTCTTATTTCGTCAGGGAGATCCCTGCCTCCGACAACGTATGTGGGATTTCTTTTCTACTATATCTACAAGAGTGCGATTAGGCTTGGAGGATTGATTGCCACTTCGTGGAAGATTTACGGAAGATTCTGCACGTCAGAATGGACCTGTGGGACGGGCCGCAAGTGTAGCCTTTTCCCAATTCTTTCCGGGACTCTGGGAAGTGTCTCTCCACGGCCACACATCGGATTCCATCTATGCCTTATCTCATTGCCTATCTGATCATCCAGCTAACAAATCTTTCAGCCATTCTAGATAGACTACGATCGGTTTTGTGAGTTCCGGAGTGGCAGAAAGGAGGAGTCTGGTGGACCTTTTCCGCAAAATACATTGTACAAAAGTCGTATCCACCACAATAGACAAGTGATTATCGTCCAAAGTCCCGAATTCCAAACGTCTTTGTTGCTTGCTCTCTAGAATTGCATGCTCCCAAAACAAGCTGTGTGTAAATTCGGTGAAAATTCGGGCGCGTGAAGCTCTGCTTCAAATCTCGCTTCTCGAATGTTCTACTGTCAGTAACCTTACCAATCCCAACAAGGCTGACCCTTCAACCTACAATGAAACAGTCCATCCCCAAAACCCACGCACGCTCTTTTTACTTTAGGAAAATCATACCAACGGAGCCGGCATCTGCGATTGACACAGCGACTTGATTATTAGCAAAGCGATCTCATCAAGCGACTCACGACTGACGAAATATCGGACGGTTCAACTCTTGCCGACCCCAGACGAGGCTGAATTATTCTTCCGCACCTCCGGCTATAAAGAACTCGTGCCGATTTCTACCCTTTTTCCGGGCGTTGCACTTCCCTTTTTGACCGTGGGTCACAGTTACTGCAGCTATCTCGACTACGACTACATCGATTTCAAGACCCGCCTGCCCTGAAACACGAACAAGGCCAGAGGCAAAGAGTCCTGAATACATAGTTTGCGGGGAAAGGATATCGAGATGGCGGGCCCAGAGGTGAATATTGACCGCGGGAAGTCGTTGTTGCTGAAGGACCAAGGGAACAAATGTTTCCAAGCTGGTGATTATGCTGGTGCTGAGGCGTTGTACACAAAGGCGTACGTAACTCCAACTCTTTTCTACGTTCATCAGGTAAAATAACTGACAAAGAGGAATGTAGAATCAACCATGACCCGACAAACCCTCTCCTCTACACGAACCGCGCCATGTCCCTACTTTCTCTTTCCAAGAAAGGGTCCTCGGAGCCCCAAGACCCCTCCGCCATTCCCGTCCTCACCCCTATCCAAATCGAGAACTACGAGAAAGTAATTGCCGACTCCCTCTCTTCCATTCGCCTGCATGCCGAAAATATGAAAGCATATTATTTCCTCGCGCAAGCACAGATCGCTCTTCACCGGCCGAGCGAGGCCCTGGCGTCAGCAAAAGAAGCGCACCGGCTTTGCGTAGAAGAGATCCATAAGGGTGGGAAAGGAGCAAGCAGTATAGGACCGATCACGGAACTAGTCTTGAGATGTAAGAAAGAGGCTTGGGAAGCGAAGGAGAAGGAGCGGTTAGATGCACAAGGAGGACTGGTGAGGGAACTGCAGGTCTTACTGGAGAAGGAACGCGATCGCCGGGTGGAGGAATTGCATTCCCAAGCTGCGACGGAGATGACAGATGGAGAGGGTGTGAATGTGCCAGTGGAGGAACAGAAGATCACAGAGGAGTATGCGAGGAAGATTGAGGAGGTTCGGAACATGGGCGTCGCGGCGGGGACGGTGGGCGAGGAGGGCAAACGGAGGAATGTCCCGGATTGGTGTATTGATGATATTACATTCTCGGTCATGGTCGACCCTGTAGTTGTACGTCCCATCCCCCCCTTTTCGCCTTCCCTGTATAACATATCTGCTAACTCCCTTTACTACCTACAGACCAAGACAGGCCAGTCCTATGACCGCAGCTCCCTCATGGAACACCTGAAGCGCACTCCGACGGACCCGCTGACCCGCGAACCTTTAAGAATGGAGGATCTCAGACCGAACCTCGCATTAAAGGAGGCATGCGATGAGTTCTTGGAACAGAATGGGTGGGCTGTCGATTGGTAGTCCGTTGCGGGCAGCGGATGGAAGAGGATGAGATCTATGCATTGCGCGGCGTCTGGTAGATATCATTCAGAGCGTGATTTTCAGCGCCATTTTCAGCGCCATATGAATTAGGAGATATCACGGCGCTGTAGCAGAGATATGATTATAGCGTGATGATTTAAGATATTTCAATATACTGAGGTTCACGATCAGAACCGAGATTTAAGCCAGGTAAGTACCTTGGTGTCTACTATTCGAACCTGTCACTTATTCAGGTGAGGTAAGATGCAGCTGGTAGTCTTGGTTCCGTCTAGACCGTGGCCATTACTTCATAAGCCACGTTATATCGGCACTGCTCATACAGGCTGGGTATTTTCGAGAATGCTGGCGCGTGTCTTCTTTCCTTCCCCGCGCCCCCGCCAAAGAGACGTTGCATTCTTTGAATCCCACGTTCTAGACAGGATCATCGGCCTATCCGCCCCTCGTAGTGACAAACGGCGCTGCGCCGTATGGATTCCCCGGCGCCTCGAACTTCCCAAGAGAGAATAGAGAGCTATACCCCAAGAAAGGAGGAATTCAGGGATCTTGACAGCATTTCTCAAGGCCAAGCACGCAACCAAGTAAATGTAACCCCAGGATGTCAAGATAGAGAGCTCCACTGGGATCTGCGGACGTGGGAGGATCGACGTCGTGGATGGTTGGGTAGCCAAATGCTCCTCAAGGATTCAGGATCAGAACCTGGATCCTGGACCCCCTGGATAAACGAGCGCCTGTGTGGTTTGTGATTTGTGAGGTAGACTCCGTAGAGTACTTGTTATCTCGGTATAGATCCTAGAAGATACTCTACGGACAGGGAGGTTCATGGAGGAGAGAGGCGGGGCATACGCCTCGTCTTGTCGTCAGATACAGGCGGATATGTATTGTATTCAGAGACGGAATAGAAGCCAAGATTTCAAAACGTTACAAGAGATAACCCGGCTCCCGAGGTCCCGATGCCGCCTCCATGTCTGGATCGGGAACGCCGAACGACCTTCGTTTCAACTCTCCCTCCCCCTCCCTTGTCTTCAACCATCTCTCCCCAGTTCTCTTCTTCAAGTGAAGTGATGAAGCGCTCCAAGGACGCAGACAGAGCTATAGAATGCATGCGGCTTTGAGAGACTGAGGAGGGCGTACATTCTATGTACAGAATTTCGGCGGCGTCGAGTCTGAATTCCTTTGATTCTTCTTCTTGCGCGGCACCGCAGCAGATTCTCGACCTACGCCGCCCATGTGCGCCTGGATCAACCTCCCTTCCCCTTGACGCGTCGCAGCGTCAAGGTTCGCCGTTGAACAGCGGCAGAGCCTCACGGAATGTCGGATTATAGTTCAACCACAGGTACAAGCAGCACGAGAGTACCTGGCCCTAGTGGGGCTGGACGAATCACAGGGCCCATCCCACTCAAATCCTCCTCGTCAAGGGGCCCGAAACTCCTGCGGGAGGCACAACTTTATCTCGAGCGTCTTGGCCGGGTGGAACATAGCCTCCCAATCATACGCTGCAGGACCGATTAAGTAGTTTGCAAGGGCTCTCTTAGGTCGGTTCCGGATTCATCGTCTGCCGCTTCTCTGCCGCTGCAAGCAATTGATTCCTTCGATCATGCTGCCATGCTCTACTTGGAGAAAGTGCTTCAAGCTCCTCGTCTCTTGTTTACGTTGTCTGTGATATATATTCCTGCAGATCCGGACCATGTTTTCCATCGTTTTCATTTCCATTTCCATCTTCAGCTTCGTTCTTTCTAGCTCCCGTCCCAAGTTTTCCTTCCTTTTGAAGTCAGCCTTCAAGATGAAGTCGAGCCTCTTTCTAAGCACCTTCTTAGCTGGTGTGCCTTCCCTTTGCAAAGTTGTTGTTCATCCCGATACAACTGAAGCTGGTCTCCTCAGGGCACCTCGCCAGCGAGATCTCGAATTGGACCCCTTCCATCAAGTGCGGGATGTGGATCTCATGGACCTGGACAGACGAGGCAACTCCTCCCAACATGTGGCCACCTTTGATCTTGCGAGTACCATTCCTCCTGGACTGTTTCTAAATGTGTAGGTTTTATCTGATCTCTTTTGATAGCGCGTACTGATGTAATATAGGAACGCCGGACATAAAGAATCGAATGGCATCTCTGAAACGATTATGATATCAGCTTCCTGTGCTTCATGCTATACCACCGGCACCGGTGTTGCCACGACGCCGGGGATCGATACGGATGACTCTGTATTCCATGATATTATTAAGTTCATAGAGGAGCTTGGAAAAGATCCCGAAGAGGTGATTAAAGACGCCTTCAACGTCCAGATGGACTTCGCTCTCAAAAACTTTTCCGGTCACTTTGATTTTGATATCGCCTTCACGGGCTCGGGCACATACGATATCTCCATTCCTCTTCCCCCTACACCTCTGGGTGGTACTGTAAGCAAGCTACACTTTTCGGAGTTCTTGCCTCATCAGGAGCTGACAGCGTAGTTCCCGGACCCTCCCATCCCTGATGCCCCCTCAACCACCATCGGACTGGTGCCTACTATCGATATCATCTTCTTTGTTAGCGGTGCTGTTCACGTGTCGACGGGCTTTGAGTTCACCTTCCCGGAAGATGCGACATTCTCGATCGACGCGATTAAGGGCGATATTATACAAACAAACTTGTATGTGGTCAAATCACCCCCTCCCTACACGGGCACTTCTAATTTCTTCTAGTGGCAATGTCAAATTCAACTCTCTTCCAACCACGTTCAAGAGCGGAGTTGGCACAGTCAGTGTAAAGCTTCGATTCGGCGCGAAGTTAGCGTTTGACTTCCACGTACTCAATAAGGGGTTTAGTTTGGAATCGGGAATCTTTACTGATGTCCCCTCCTACTCAGCCGCCATCACCTTCAACCCCTCGTTGCCCTGTGAGGTCGCACTTAGTGAGGTGCTCGCTATTGATGCGGGAGCGTTTGCTACAGCCGCAGCAACACTTGGTTCCTTCAATGCTGGACTGGGACCAAGTTTCATTACATCATTGGTTACAATGTCCCTGCCCGGAACCTGTATAGAAAGCAAGACGGCCAGCAATTTCACAACAGCTGCGCCAGCAACAACTGCCTCAGCAAAGACCACAGCAGGCACAAGCAGCCACTCTCAAGTCGTAATCACCAACTCCCTCCACGCCTCCTCACTCGCAAGCCATGTCACCGGACCCTTCATTACCGGCACTCCCGTCTACGACACCTCCAAAACCGGGACACCTTCCTCCACCTCTGCCAAACGCCGCGACCTCGACCCCCGCGCTGTTGCCACGACTACTCCCATCGTGCAAAACATCACTGTCATCACCACTACATACACCTCCACCTCCAGCGCCAAGTCCTGGCCCGCTACAAACGGCACATCCACACCCACCGCCTCCTCGGTCCCGTCCCCTGTCCCTCTGAGCAGTGCCGGAATATCCACCTCTCCCTTCCTCCCGCTATTCGCAGGAATTTCCCTCCTCTTCATGTTCTTCGCTTGATTCCCCTCGTCATCTCAGCGCTCATCTTGCATTTCTCGGGCGTTTTGTCATCCGGGGGTCGTTACGCTTGGATACATACATACCTGCATACCTATATATATAGACGGAAAAGTCCTACGATTTTTCTTACCTCTCTTTCCCATCCTTTTTCTGAATTGTTTTGAGTTTGCTTTTTTTCATTTCTCATTCGCGGAGGTCATTTGGTTCCTTTTCTTTGCTGTATATTATGGAGCGAAATAACTTACTCTGGGTTCATGAATAGAATGGAATGGAATGAATGGATTTAGAAACCTGAAAAGCAGCTGAGTGGTACGCAGTGAATTCCCAGTGAATTATGATATTTTACGATTATCGTCTTGAGCATGATACACCTAAGCGAGGCCTTTCAACATCACAAGAACTACAGAAAGAAAAGTATGAGTGAGAGGGTGGATCTTCCATAGCATAACTTGACCCTAGTCCAAAGAAGACGACAAGCGAAATCTAAATGAAATTTATACACATAGGTACCTTATACAAAGAATATCACATTTGCAAAAGAAACGTTCGTTATAAGAATGCCGTTTTTCCCCCTGCATCATGTACAATTTTCCACCCGTTTCATCCCCCTTGATATCCCGTCAAGGGATTTATTGATTATATTATTTACATTATAGCTTGGCGATCAACTTCTCGCCCTTCTTGATCCAAGCTACGGCGTCGGTGACTAGCTCGTCGACTACGGCTTTCGCGCTCTTCTTCTCGTTGACGACGGCGGAGGCTTTGCCCATTAGGAAGGGGCGGGCTTGGTCCATCATCTGGTAGGGTTATTTGTAAGTAATTTTGACCGGGGGGACAGAAGCTGAGAAAGGGGAAAGGGGGGGGAGGGGCTCACATCATCCGTAATATCATCACCCAGGGTCTCGAAATCATGTTCGACGGGGATAACGCCCTTGCTAGTCAACTCCTTGATCTCCTGCGATCGGTTCTCCTCCCAGTTCTGGATATAGGGGTTGTTGCGGACGCGCAGCGGGCGGCCCGTGAAGATGATCGTGCGCACATTGTCGTCGAAGCCCGCGGTCCGCACGGCTTCCTGGTGCGCTTTGGGCGCTCCTGCTTCGTCCGTGAGGATGAATCTCGTGCCGACCCATACTGCGCTGGCGCCCAGCATCAGCGCAGCGGCGACGGTCTGTCCGTTGTAGATACCTCCCGCGGCGATAACTTGGACTGGCTTGCCGGTCATAGGACTGGTCTTGCCCTCGCACAGCTTGACGACCGCGGGGATCAGGACCGTGGTGGGAACATCGCCGGTGTGGCCGCCGCCCTCGCCTCCTTGCGCGCAGATGATGTCGACGCCGAGATCAAGACACTTCTTGACGTGCTTCGGGTGGCCGATCATATTCATGTATAGCACGCCGGCCTTGTGCAGACGCTCGACGACATGTCTCGGGGGAACTCCGACCGCGGAAACAAATAGCTTGGCGCCGCTATCGATGATGATGCTTACGAGCTCGTCGAGTTTGCCCTTTGTGTAATCGTAGCTATCAACCAATGTCAGCAATTGAATCAGCGGCCATGAACACATCAGCTGGGTGCATGAGCTTACTTTGTCTTTCGTGCAGATCCACCAACCTGCGGAAGCAGGAGATCAACACCAAAGGGAGCGCTCTTATCGTTGAGGTAGGACTTCAGCTCGGCGATCTGCTCTCGCAGCATGTCGGGCGTGTAGCCGACGCCGCCAATGACACCCAGTCCGCCGGCGTTAGTGACAGCCGCTGCGAGCTTTGGGCCCGCTGCCACGTTCATTCCTGCAAGCAGGATGGGGTGGTTAATCTTCAGGAGGTCGGTGACCGTGGTGCGGAGTTGTTCTGTTGAAGGGATCAGTGGGGTGCATCTCATCTCGATCCGTTGACATGTGATACTTACGTTTCGAAGCCATGGCGGTGGGTTTCTGGGTAGAATGTCTAAAGGTGATGGTAGAAAGGATATCAGAGGAACGGGAAGCAAGATAGACAGAGCGAGAGAGGGAGAGAAAGGGAGATGGATATATATGATGAAGAAACAGAGGGGAAGTGGAGAGAGGCGGACGGCCATGGTATACGAGTCTGAATCTGGGGAAAGATACCTCGGCATCCGCTTAGCCTTACCCCAGAACGAAGATCACGAGACAGAGCGTGTGGGGTTGCCGTTCTGGGAGTGACACGGCTACGGTGACCGGGACAGATCATCTTTTTCTGCTTGAAGTCATTGGGTTTACTATGAGGTGGCTCATGGTATTTATCTGAGGACTTTGCTCTAGGGGCTATACAGAGTATTTGCCTCTATCAAGCTATCTTGAGCTTCCCATGGATGTCTTTCATAAACGGGATTCTACATAATCATCAATTTACTTATGCCGCCCATCATGAAGCCCCTCACGTGATGAGGAGCAAAATGTTTTGGAGCCAGAAACGACCTATCAACATCAGTCCTCATCAGATGATGAGCTTGTGAGCACCACAACACCGCCGATGAGGCCTCTCAACCTGTCGAATGTTGCCCGGGGCAGACCTTCACTATTAGGAAATGTCTCCCCGCGCTATAGATCCAATGCCGTCCAGATCCGCCTCCCAATGGCCTCGACTCGGCAGCAGCGTCACTCCACCCAACGGGTGATGGCTAGCCCTTGGGCACAGCACCCTCTCAAACCGTCTACCCCGAACAAGGATGATCTTGCTCGTCTCTCAAACCGGTTGAAAGTCGCTCCCGGGAAACATACGGCCTATGTTGCTCTCGGCAGCAACCTGGGAGATCGCATTGGTATGATTGAGAAAGCGTGCAATGAAATGGCAGCGAGAGGGATTACGATCAAGAGGACTAGTTGTCTGTGGGAAACGGAGCCGATGTATGTTTTGGACCAGGAGAACTTTATCAATGGAGCTTGCGAGGTGAGAATCACCCGCTCATTGAATCTCGTTACGCATACTCCGACTCCGCCGGAACTCCATTCAATTCAACTCTCTATATCTCTTCCAAAATTCGGATACGTTCAGGACTGATGAATTTCAGATTGAGACTACGCTGGAGCCATTGGCCCTCTTGGATGAACTGCAGAGTATAGAAAAATCCATGGGCCGCAAGAAAATCATAGACAAAGGACCCCGCAATATCGACCTGGATATCCTTCTCTATGATGATCTAGTTCTCAATCACGAGAGACTCCAAATCCCTCACCCGCTGATGTACGAACGTGAATTTGTCCTTAGGCCTCTTGCAGAGTACGTATGCGCTCCCTGAAAACCTCGAATCGAAACTAATTGGCCCAGGCTCATTCCAGGGAAGACATTGGATCCAGCAGCTCCTTGGAAGGTTACTCAAGACTACCTGAACGCACTTCCTCTGTCTGCACCATTATCTACTATTACTCCGTTGGGACGCTCCACAGAACCCATTAGAGCTTTGCAACCCAGTCGCAAAACTCACGTGATGCGTATCGTGAACGTGACTCCCGATTCTTTCTCGGATGGAGGGACCTATTTCAAACAGTCGGATGCTTCTAGCTCTGAGATTAAATATGAGCCTGACAACATTTCTGGATTCTCAATTGTCGATGTCGGTGGACAGACCAGTGCTCCAGGCGCTAAGGATATCTCCAGTGAAGAAGAGATCTCTCGAATATGCCCCTTTATTGAAGGGACGAAAGCGTTCTATGATCGCGAAAAGATAGCAATAAGTGTGGATACCTATCGGGCATCCGTCGCTGAAGCTGCTGTCAAAGCAGGCGCCGACATCATCAACGACATCTCCGCTGGTGAGCTCGACCCAGAGATGCTTCCCACAATGGCGCGTCTGGGGAAGACGGTCTGCCTCATGCACATGCGAGGCACGCCGGCCACAATGAACAGCTTAACCGATTATTCACCTGATGGTCTCATCCCCACCATAGCCAAAGAACTCCTCGCTCGCGTAGAAGCCGCGGAAGCCGCTGGGATACGACGTTGGCGCATCATCCTGGACCCCGGAATCGGGTTTGCCAAAACGGCAGACCAGAACCTAGAGATATTGAGGAGGTTGGATGAGTTAAGAGATTGGCCGGGATTGAGAGGTCTACCTTGGTTGGTAGGGTCCAGCAGGAAAGGTTTCGTGGGGAAGATCACGAATGTGACGGAGCCAAGGGATAGGATTTGGGGGACGGCCGCCACGGTCGCGGCTGCGGTCCAAGGTGGCGCGGATATTGTAAGGGTTCACGATGTGGAGGAAATGGCACAAGTGGCTAAGATGTCGGACGCCATCTGGCGTTCGTAGACAAGGTACAGGTTAGAATTTATTTTCATCTGTACCGTACCCCCAAGGGTGTCGTCGCTCGCAACCCGAGGATGTATACTATTCCAAATTCAAACAAATTCAAACCAAAAGAACGATACCTAATCTCCTTCCTGTTCAGTTCTTTTCAGGGCCGAGCCCTTGTCACTTATGGTTCTCACAACAGTCTCTTTGTTGTACTAAGATGGTCCCGTACAATCATACTTTCTCACCTGAAGCGCAGCATGGTGTACCTGAGGATCCTTAAAAAGAGGCTGGAATACCCCGGAAACTCGGTGCTCGAGGATACAAGCACAGAGAGAATTCGATTCCGATCTTCGATTCTAATCGTCTTGTGGTGATTTAGAGGCTGGAGAAGATATGGGGAGAGACGTTTGATGTGCAGATGTCTGCTCAGGTGTAGCGGAATCTTCTGTCGCTACACAACATGTAACGCCTACTCTATAAGTCATTATATTGAAGTCAATGCTAACCTTTGGCACGGGGTATGGATTCGCTTAGGAAAAGGGGGCCTTCAATAATCACTTGTCATGTCCGAACCATTCAGCATAGACATGTGTAAATCTATATATAGCCATTACTATTCATATGTATGTCACTTAGGAGCCTGACTTACTATCTATATAAAGCCATTGGAATCAGTGACGACGAGTGAACTCAATTTTCTCCTAGCAGTGAAATATCATCCTCCGCTTCGGATCGTATCCAGAAGCACCCCAACATGCTGTATTATTCCCTTTGAGTAACCCTGACAAACATCTCTGATTGTATCCACAAACCCACATTCTCGCTTTTCCAGGGACGTGTTGGGTCAATCAACGTGAAATCAAAATTCCTCATGAGCTAATAAAGCGTCTCAGTCAGTCCCGCATCTTCCAGGCATAATCAGACGCCTGTACTCACCTCGAAGAAAACCTTGTTCAGTTCCAAGAACGATATGTTTTTCCCCAGACACGAGTATTTTCCATATCCCCAGATGAGACCTAGGCTCTTCTCCATGCGCTCCAGCGTCTCTCCCTTTGCTTCGAGCCATCGCTCAGGTCTGAATAGAACGCTATCCTCGCCATAGACGGCTTTGCTCCGTTGGAGACCCCACGCGCATTGTCCAATGTCGACACCGCCGGGCACAAACCGCCCATTGATTGTGTCGCCGGCGGGAGGGGTTTTCTTGGACAGTAGACCCGTTGCTGGGGGACACATTCGAGCGCCTTCTTTGATTACGGATTGGAGGTACGGCAGAGTCCTCGATTGCTCGTCGGAGATGATCTGTCCTTTGCAGATGGTGGAGTCGATCTCTGATTGGAGCTTCCTATAGACGTGCGGGTTCGTCATGATGTAGAGCATTGTGTTTCGCATTGTCGTGGCGGTTGTTTCGGTGCCGGCCGCACTGCTCCTAGTTAGAAATCATTTAGAATTGACGTGTTGGGAAGGTACATCTGGAGGGTGGCTTCTGCTACTGCGTCTGTTCGATTAATGCCATGGCGTATAAAGGAGCCCATCATATCCCGCTTTTGTTCGTTACCCTCAACATCGAATCTCTTGCGGACCACCTCCTTCACGACCCTAGATTTCAGCGTTAATGAGGAATACTTGCTGATTGATCCCCTGACCTACTTGAGAAGTCTCCCAGCGCCCGTCATATCTTTATCTGAGGGCATTACTAGCCTTCCGATGACCGGTATGGAGAATAACCTGGCAAGCCAGGGAATTGTCGACACCATAATGACGTTGGGTAAGAGTAGGTCGGCGGATTCAAACCATTTGTCCACATCTTCGTCTTTAGCCAGGCATCCCCATGGACTTCCAAATGCGATATCAGTGGTGAAGTCCATAGCGAAATACGAAACCTTCCGGGCAAAGTCCACTTGTCGAAGCTCTGATGAAGTGGAGATATACTTCCTCTTAATAAGATCCAGAAATGCGAGCAAGTGTTTATCAGCAGTGGCTTCGAGTCCTTCAACATCCTTTCCAGAATACTGTATTTTCAATGAGCATATATGATTAGAAGGTTGACCTGAAGGAACATTTACCCCCATCGCCACTTGGCCCCTCTTCTTGGAGTGCAGTTTGTCATCTAATGTCGAGAGCACGTTATCATGTTCAACCTCCAGCTTCTGTCCCAGATACCACTCTGATCTCGTGTATTCAGATCTTGCAGAACTCATTCGCTGTATCAAGTCGGGATCACTCGTCAGAAGGATGTTCGGGCCAATACGAGCAAGTTCACCTGCGTGGGATCAACCAAGAACTACAAGACAAGATAATGGCGACGGACCATATCTTTGATGCACTTCAAAGAGATCCATGTGTTGTCTCTTGCGAGAGACCATGTCTGCCATCCACAGATTTGTTATACTTGCCCAGAAGGGACCTTTGAATTGTGAGAGACGGCGATAAGAACTCCATTGTTTCCACAGGATGGTCCCGAAGAGCAGCCCAAGCAGGTATCTCGCCGCGTACAGAAAATCAATGATTGAGACAGTCATGGTCATGATGGCGGAAGGAAGAAAGAGAAGCGAGATGAGGAGGAATAGAGCAGAGGCTTGATTGAAGGACGGTAGGACAACTGTAAGGGGGTTGGCACTACCAACGAGACAGACCTACAAGCACACCCGTACATTGCCTTCCAATGGGCTGCACCATTTTCTTCTGCTGATCCTGGTACCCGCAGCCACTTAGGAGCTGATTCTCCGGGTCATGTAAGGAGGCTCAGACCAAGATTAGGCTATCCATTTGGCTCCCCGCTCTGTTAAGGTTAATCCAAGCCAGTGAGCAAGCCATTTGGACAGATAGGTCTTGCTCTATAAGACAAGACATATGTTTCCAAAATTTTGGAAGAGGAGACATGTAGATAACCCAGGAACTGGCAACTGCGCTCTTGTGGTTTGTCTCATCAAAAGAGGAAAATGTCCCTGATACATGCGTAAACATTCCTGCGTACCATTCTGCCAACGTAAGGGACTTCTGAAGGCGGCGATGAAACCCTTTTGCTATCAGTTTTTCGAGGCTGGACTCGGGACCCGGAAGTCTGGATGAGACTTTGGATCCTGGGCTCTGTAGCTTCACCGCCATAAAAGATTCTCCAGCAGAATGTAACAAGAGACGTTGAAACGAAGTCACTCGTAATGTCAAGCAACAATACATCGTGGTGGTAAAGCATCGCATTCATGGTGGTAGATGACATCTGTGCCGCTGAAGGAACGACCCCTCGCCAGCCTTGGTCGCAAGGCATACGTAGGCCGCATGGACCACCACCAGAGTCTCTCAGGCTGCTGAGCTCCTCCATCTCCAAACAACTCCATCAAACCTCCTCCATGCCAAAGAAACGGTTCACATCCCAATACTCGAAGCCGCAAAGTACCGTCCATCCATCACTAAGCTCGTCATCAGCGGCCAACTCGGCCTCTTCGAGTTCCTCTCGTAATTACCTGCCCCACCTCGCCCCGCGTCATGCTCAACTCTTATCTGACTTCCAAACGCTTGCAGACAGAGATGCTACACCTTCTGTGAACGACCTCATACAGTCTCTACGGAGGACACAGGTAAAGCCCCATGAACGGCCTACATCTACGGTGACAACGCCGACCTTGCCTCCGCAGATCCGCCAGCTGTTATCGCAGCCAGAGACGCCTGCCCCCCGGCCTCGAGCGAGAGATCGCCGACGCTTTGATATAAATGGGAGACGTATTCCACCCGGGCCAGCACCGCCAAGGAGCTGGCTAGAAGGGCCCAACAATACGCCGATTAAGGCGAGGAGCAGGACGGACGAACGTGTGTACCCGCACGACGTGGAACATCTGCCTGGGGTTGGGTTCCAAAATGCTCGGGGCGAGGAGCGTTCGAAACTGCGGGGTACCGTAGATGGTTCAGTATCTTTCTCTACACCGCAGCGCGGAGGGAGAAGTCTACAGGATATGTGTTTGCGGAGAATGGCCAGTGACTGGGAATTTCTAAAGCAGTACGAAAGGCATAACTTGGCTTACTTGCCAACTGGAGTACGCATGCTGCTCTTGAGTTATATCGCCGTGTATGGACCCGAGGAAGGAGTGGGATTTGAAGCGCTGAAGCATTTGCTAATGCCACCAAACGACGAGTAAGCCTAATCACCTGAAACCCCCAGGAAGGATCTAATAGAACTTAGGGATGATGAGATGTACGACCCAGGAGAGAATAACGATAGCTTCGTCAGACTAGACCTTTCCGGCTCCGCAGGCCGCTCTGTATCATTCAAACAACTGACCGAACTGGTCGAGAAACCGACACGGGTAGCAGAGGAAAATGCTGATTCCTGGGAGGAGAGCTTCACGCGGTCTCTCAGCCCTCCCATACCTCACCTAACGCACCTCTCACTCTCGCATCCACCGTCAACCATCTCCTGGCCGCGCCTCCTATCCTTCGCAAAGCACGTCCCAACACTCACTCATCTGTCCTTGGCATATTGGCCCGTCCCCGCCCTGACGCCAAATTCCACGACTGCAGTAATGTCCTCTAGCTACGGCAAGGACGTACAGTACGGGGGCACGAATTACTATTCCCATTCCATCGATGCGGATTTCCGGGAGGCCGCTGCTATCCTACGGAGACTAGCTACCAGTAAGTAGTATTAACCCCCCTTCACCCCCTAAACGTCCCTGTCCTCTCCTCTCCCCTCAAGTAACAAGCACTAACACATCCCTTTCAGCTCTCTACGGCCTCGAATACCTCGACCTCACGGCATGCTCCTCCTGGCTCCCAGCCCTGCACTGGAAAGGCGACGGCGAGACCGGCATAGAGTGGGCCTTACACTGGCCCAAGCTTTGCGTGCTGCGCGTCTTCTCCGACCTCTCCCTGTCTGCAGACAGCGAGTTCGTAGATGTCGCTACTTATGTTGAGGCGTGCGCGGCGCAACTACGGCTCGAGAGCGCTATTATGGTGGTGAGTTTTGCTTGCCTCTTTCTTCTTGTCATGTTGTTCTTCGGCGGTGTCGAATCCGGTGGCTGATAAAAAGAGTAGATGCGTAGACCGAGGAATGGCAAGGGCAAAGGAGGCGGGAGGGGGAGATGGGTAGATGTCCAGCGGGATGATGGAGCTGTGTATGATGGGTTATGGAAGGGTGCTAGGGAGGGCGAAGAGAGAAGGAAGAGGAGATTGTTAGATACGTTAAAGGAGATGGAGAGGGGCGTTAGGATCCGCGGTTCTGAAGAGGACGCTGAAATCACGGCGCTGGGAGATGGAGGGCATGGGAATGCCTGGGAAGAGTGATCATTATAACGTTGCTATTCTCTCGTTGATATAGGTATACACCCTAAGCTTCCCAAGCCTCTTAAAACCTACTCTGTCATCGCGCTTTCTATCCACAGAACATCTGCGATATAATAAGCAGGGCGGAAGAGGACGCGAGCTGCGATCTAGAAAAAGTCGCATATATAGAAATCTAACCCTCTGTTCACTGATCTATTTCCTAAACACCGGATTTGAAGCGTGGATAGTCGGTTAGGCAGGTAGTAGGGGGGATTCCGTAGTGAGACAGATAGGAGGTCTTAAAACTTATGGCACAAGTCAATGGAATAGCTAAGTAAAGATTAGTATGCTCGTGGTGATGGGCGAGAGGTGCGTTTTGCTTACAAGATTTGGGGACATGGACAGATATTCGGACGGAATGAGGTTTTTCATCCCGTTTCTCTTGCTTTTCACCTTTGCTTTTCTTTTCTTATTTTCTCCCTTTTTACAAACGGAAGTACCAGGTATTGGGATGGAGCGGGTGTTTAATAGTCCTTGATAGAATGAACTAGGAAACGAGCAAAGATGACGGATAAATCAAAAACGAATGACTCCATTCATCCCTTGGCTTCCAAAAACGACCTTTGAGAAGAGAATACACCAGAGAAGCTCTGCCGCACATTGACGGGAGCAGGAAGAAGCAACCCAGCATTCCAGAAGAAACTAGTGCTAGGAACCATCCCGCTGAGGGGGAGGAGGAAAAAAGGGGGTCCGAATATGGGTGGGAGCCACTCGGCGATTCCAGAGTTGTAAGAGGAGAACCTTGCGGCCCAACGGTTCCTTAGGGCGGTAGGAGACAAGAGGATTGATCCGGTCTGGCAACTAGCAAGCAGAGGGATCTTCAACGAACCGGCAGAACTGGGAGATAGGAGGAGTAGACGCAAGTTTGGCTCTGTGGCACGACCGTTACTCGCCGACTGCCGATGGGCAGCAGGCGGGAGCAAGGCGATCCCCTCGATGCAGGGCGCATGTGAGGAAAGCCGTTGCGCTAGATAAGCACGAACTACAGTACGTCTCCCGCATCTTCTCGTGGTGGGTTCTCAATAGAGGGATGTGTGGTCCAGAAGTCATGGACGGGATAGAGTTCTTGACGCAGCCCCACATTCCACAACTGATAAACTATTATTATAGAGGCTAAGAGCGAGCATTAAGAGCATGGGCCTAAGACAGTTAGCTCGTCAACCTCGTGCTACCACTGCCGAGCCCTTGAGACCGGGGGCCCCCTATCCCTCTCAAGACCTCGTCAGCTTGTGGTTCTTGCGGAGATGTCCGGCGGCATATCCCAGTTTGCATCTGTTTGCGGGGCAATCAAGCAAGCAAGCAAGCCATTTTGTAGCTTGGGCACCTGACTAGTATTTAGAGCCCTTGGCGTCGAGGGAACAAGGGCGTGACAAGGGACAGGCATACTCTCACCTCCAGTGACGCATGCACATATCCAAGTCTCACGCCTCCGAGATCCCAACCGCCGCGCCCGTATTGGCTTGGGGCATGAGAAATGTTGGTTCAAGGACCTTCTTTTTGGGATTGCCATCCTCACAAGGCACAGTCAACTCCGGGTCCTATAGTCAATGAGGCGGCCGGGAAGGGTTCGCAGGTCATACGGAGGGGACTCCGCAAGATAGGGGAGAGGGAGAAGCACGCATCCGAGTCTTGATCGATGAAACACAGCCCTCAGGCCCGCTTTCAGGGGCGCGGACTTCCTCGGGAGAAGCATTAAGGCGTATTGATGCTGTGCATGTCGCGTTACGCTGACAGATTGCCGCGTGATGGTCTCTCGACGAACAATGACACAACGCCGAGGATCGACGAGCATCGACGGGACCACAGAGACAAGACAAAACGAGCCTCGCAGTCAGCAACGGCCCCCAGCCAGGATCTGTAGCTCGCCAACCTGCATCTGCATCTTCTTTGCAGCGTTTCTGATCTGCCTTCGCGCTGCAAGGGGACGTGGCCTCTTCCTTCTCCTCGTCTTCCGTCTTCGTCTTCGTGCTCGTGACCTCCTCACCTCTCATCCTGACCCTGCTCAGGGCATCCCGAGACATTGGCACCGGCTCCAGGATAGATTGCTTGTGGATGCCTGCCTGCTTGGGCATAGGAAGGGGGAGCTATCTGCTGTCGTGGCAGCGGGCACAGCGTCATTGAGTGGTTCGTGGCTTTGGCGCGACGGGTTCGTCAGGGTCTCAATCTAGAAGAATCTGTGGTCTCGCCGCATGGATTGATGGACTGTCTGGGTCTGGGTCAGAGTCGTGGTCGGGAGGTCGAGGGGATATCGAGGAATGTTTGCGGAGCAGGATTAGGACTTCCAGGAGCCGCGGGCGAGGAGGATCGGGGACCTTCAAGAGCTGCATCTGGGGAATCCGATTGGAGGAGCCGCACCAGTGCAAAAGAGGCAAGGCGGCGTCGCGGCGAGCATCCGGCGGGAACGAGTGGAGCAGGGCGGGATGTCTTGGTGGCCTTGTTAACTGCCTAAGGCATAAGATGTATACCTAAGGCATACAGACATCTCAGGCATGTAAGGCATGTAAGGCATTTAAGGCATGTAAGGCATGTAAGGCATCCATCCCTTGAGAAGCTTGTACCAACGTACCGTCGTCTCTCTCTTCACCAACCAGCGACGAGATTGAGATACAACTTGAAATACCACGGCCACAAGGATGGTCACTGGTAGTCGTCGTTGTAGTCAACATTTGTCATGACCAGTTCTCGTTCTCCTCTGCCCATGCTTCGTCCCATTCGCACGGAGCAGGTCAAGGTCGCCTTGCATTCCGAAGACGACTCCATTCAGCGTTCTCTCTCTCCCTCTCCCTCTCTCCCCCGCCCTCATTCAGACCTTGATATTCCATGATCACGACGGTTATCGTACTGGGTCCTGATGGTCTATCTCCCGCCAAGTCAATGCTGATGGCATGATGCAGCCTCCTCCAGGAACCCCGCCCTATTGGCGATCCCTCCTCTATTCCGGCTGCCTTTGCGACGAGTTGACGGTGCCAGGTTCTGCCCACCCCGCCAACCGCCCCTCCTTGCTGTGCTCCTCAGGCATCCCACTCCATCCCTCCTGCATATCTCCCACCTCAATTCTGGATGCCAGAGAGAAGAACCTTCTTGACAGGTTGCTGCTGTATACTCCGGCCGGCCCCCCAGCGCTGTCCGTGTGCGACTTGGGGTGGCGTGGTTCTGATAGATCACAAGGCAAGACATGGCCGGGCCCAGCGCAGCATATAAGCCGAGACGTTGCCGCTGCGGTGCAACGTCCCGAAGGAAGTCCAGGGGGGGCGGACTAGGTATGTGTTATGCTATGCTCGGTGGCATTTCTCCCACGTATCGAGGGCTGTTTAATTTTTGCTTTTATTCTTTTTCCCTTTCTAATTTTTCTCTCCTTCCTCTTGCTTCCCACCTTGCAGTTCCTCCGATAAAGAATTGTCTGGCCCTGTTGGCTTTACAGAGTAAAAGGGGCCTCTCGAGGTAGGCGGATTTCTTTGATTTGATTTGTTATTTTCATTTGCTGATAATTTATCTACTCTCTTGATTAATTACTGTTAATGAATACCTCGTGATTAATAATTGCGTCATTAACAACGACCATTCTCTTCACCCTCAATACCTCTCGTCGCTCCCTGATTGAAGCGCCACGAAACCCCGGCCCGCGCCGACTCAGACGCGGGCCGGGGAGCAGGTCTGCTCGGTCAGGACTCAAGGCCTGCACATGCCCTGTAGGGTCTGGCAACCGAAGTTGAGTGCACTGCACTGCACTGCACGGCACGGTACATCCGTATGCTATGCCTTCCCACGAGCCTGGGATCGGCTTCTGAGTGCAAGATCGGCCTTTGGCCCTCCAGCACGCATCGCTTTCGCAGCAGCTGTTGGGACGTGAATATAGGGCCATTCTGAACATTAAGGGGTCAAGGAAACGAGAGATGGATCGCGATTTTACGGAGTAACCTGGTGCGTGCGGATACAGATTGGCAAATGATTGCGGCAGGATAGTACTGTCTGGATTGATTGGCAGCTGTTACCAGCTCAAAGAGCCCATTCACGTGGCTCCCGTTGATAGCAAAGGCTTCGGGCCTGGGACGCCGGCATACGGCGGGAAGGGGCATGCGTGTGTGACCACAGCTTAACCGTTACCGGGAGGATCAGGGACATCTGTGAGGGATTCCGAAGTCTTCAACGAGGAAGGGATTCGCAGCTTCGACATGGCCGTCGTCTGATTCGCCGCCATCGCCTCACCCGCATACGCTCGCGCTCTCTCCTTGATCCTATCATCCCAGCTCCTGAAGAGCTGCAGCCACTCATTGGCCTGCTTTCAGGCGGCGCCCTTTCCCTGGAACCCTGGACCATTCATCGTTAGTGAGTTCCCAAAATACGAGAGGCCTATTTGCCCTCCCAAGGTAAGGGTGAGTGTTGATTTGTAAGTTTGTCACCTGTCAGCCACTCCATGCTGTCAGATACAGCAACTGTCATCTTGTCTAAACTCCGCGGTGGCGAAGATGCTCCTGTTCTTACAGTGCCTTGCCTCTTTAGGCTGCCGGGCGCCGTAGGGCTTTCAGTGCCACTTGGCGGATTGATCCATACGGAGGTCGGCCCGACCGATGAAGATCGCGGGACTTTCATCCGTGATACCGACGGCCGTTGTTGGAAAGGTCTGGGTACATCCCGAGTTATTGTAGAGTACGGATTGGCTGCTGCTTAGCCTAGCATGACGATATTCTTTCAGGGAGGAGTAGGTTGTTTGACTTGCTGAACAACACGCTCCTCCCTCAACGGTCCCAACCTTCTAAACAGCTGAAGAGAAAAGTGCACGAAGTCCTCAACATGCACATACAAAGACGCAGAGGCAGAGATGCGGCGGGAGAGACGCATTTCACAGAGCAGACGCTTTCTTGCCAAGGACGAGATGAGCAGCTGATGCATGTCATGATGCATGCATGGTTCATCCTGCTCTACGCAGCGTATAGGCTAGGGCTATAGGTTACCTTGCCATCTCAGAGCCGTGGATGGAGGATGATGGTCCAGCGGTCACCATCAGGAGGCGAAGACGAAAATGCAAATCAAAATAGAATCCCCCAAGAAAGATTTGAATTGAATGGCGGGGACTCGGGGAGGGGTCGCGGGTGCGGGCAAGCCAATGGCTACAGTAGTCTCGGCAACACTTGCTCTTGACCCAGCTCCCCTCCCTCCTTTACACTAACGCACATTGGAATTTGAACTCCTCAGTTACTATGTGATCTGGCTACGGAGGATTGGATGTCGAGAGGACTGAGACAAGCACAGCATACGAGACTTGCTGTCCCCATGATAGATCCCGAACTCTAAAGTAGTGGTTATTAAGGATTGGGAGATAAGGTAGGAAAACCTAACCATGGTTCTGTTTGACCTGGCGCCGGGTCTCAGCTAGCCAGCCCCTCTCCCGGAATCTGGAATCTGGAATCTGGAGAAAGGAGGCTATCCAACGACGAGCAGACCCCAGAAGAAGGAAGGGATGGATGGAATCGCTAATCCAGGGATGAATCACCAATGACGAAAGTAGGCCTTTTAAATGAGGAAATCTTGCGAACACCAGGCGGGAACCCAAGCCACCAAGAATTGGCAACCTGGCAGATCCATTGATACTTCCAGACTCCAGAATGGCGCATTTGGGCGAAGATAACTCGTCGCGGAGAAGGCTGACTGCATGCTCCATTGGCTGCGGTCGGTAGGCTCTTTCCCCTCTAAATCCTGGCTCCTGCAATGCATATCGGTCAGACAGCTGCTCCCCCCCGTATCCTCTTGCAGTGATTATCTTGTGATTGCTGGTGATGCCTGCGGTTGCCTGTAACTTACGGTGCTGTGTTCTTGAGACCCATAGCTGTTCAAGGCTGGGTTCACCTCCCTAGCATCGCAAGTACTTCCTCACGCATAAACTACACAACGCTCCGGGAGAGCTTGAAGCCCCCCACGCCAGCGGGCGGCATCTGCTTGGCTCCCTACGTACGTTGAGGCTCTCGAGGATCCGGACGCCTTGCCGGAGTGTACCTGATAGATGTGATACATCAGATTTCGTGGGAGATCATTTCATGTACATGGCCCTCTGATCGTAGTCTGGCAGTCATCTCGGGCAGTCTCCGACTGTCACGACTGCCTCGTAAAAGAGAGGGCTTCGAGAGACCCTCTTCCTCGCCCTAGACAGTCTGTCCGATGCAAGCAATGTGCGTGAGCGACGGCTCGCTGCCTTTCCTAAAGCCAGAAAGCCATGAAACCCAGGACGGCCATTGGCTGCATGGCAGTATCAACATCCAGAGACTCGCCTCAGATAGGGGGCCCTTTGATTGAGTGACTGATTGTTATTTTGGGGGGGGTCCGCAACTGTCAATCAACCTTAAATTTAGATCTTATACCCAGGCGGCCTCGAGTCCTTCCAACAAAGTCTTAGTCCACCTTCCCAGAGGACAAACTACTGTTTTACCTGTCATTTTTTTGCACAACCTTGTCCGGATCGATAACCTTTATTGCCTGTCTCTTTGTGCGAGCCTCTCTTCTCGGTACTGCCGCCCTCGGTGAGATTAGTACGTCCAGATCCAGGGGGAGGGAGGAGAATAGACCCTCACTAAGGTTGCCGGTGGAGATCGCGTCGACTACTTTCTCCAAGCCTCCAAGGAGACCTGGCAGAAGAGCAGTGGATGTGTGAAACGCCAGATTTCCTCAACAGATCTTCCACGTGCCCAGTGAGACTGAAAGCTCCTAGACAGGAACTCGACGGCGTTAGTGGCGGCAAAGAGCGAGTGCGAAGTCCCATATATCTCAAACCCCCCGCGGTCTCCGCCATCAGGTCGTCCGCTACGGCATTGGAACAAATCGAGCCCTCCCCCCCAGCTCTGAACTGAACAACACCGATTGCGCCTCGTCATCAAGCTCTCACGCAAATGTACCAGAGGGGGATTTGATCTTACGATTTCCGCTACCAGATATCTTCCCTCCGTTCCCTCAGCAGATATCAAGAGGCTATCCTGCCAATCCTGGATTCCCGGCCTGTCAATCCACAAAGTTAGGTCTGGACTTGCTCCTCCAGATCAACGACTCAGAAAAATCCGGAACATTCCTAGCTATTGGAAGCTATCACGCTCTCTTTACCTGGTTCTTACCCCACGACTTGGACTCTCGTCTACCCGGGGTTCTGGCTCGGCCATACATGACAAGTCGACCACGACTCGTCCTCATTCGCGATTCGGATTAATCGGTTGAGCATTCCAGGCAGGTCTCGGCCTGCCCCCCTAATCATCTGGGTTGCATACGACGGCGTGGCAGTCTGCCGGCGAGTAGCGCCCCCCTCCAGTCTGACTCTCCCGTTGACCGTTCGGCATTGGTGCGCACTGGAATCCAACAGCTTGTCTCTGCGCTGCCGCCTCTCATTCGACGGCCAGCTCTTTTGCCTTTTTTCCCCCCTTCAAAGCCGTCCCAACAGCGGCGGGCTCGGCGGTGTCGTCTCTCCCAGCAGTAAATCATAGACCCAACACTCGCAACTCTGCGAGTCTTCTCCCCTCCAATATCTCTGGCGACTCTGGTCTCGTGCTCTGGGCCAGGACGTCGCGCACGATCGCACGAGCAGAAACGAGACAGTCGGGACTCTCCCTCGCCCTGTGTGTGCTCCACAATTGGCACCCGGCGCCATACCCACCGTCCCGACTATAGCGGCCCTCCGCGCGCAGCCTATCAGATCCCGCCCGTGGGTGTGTCTGAATCGGAAGAACTGTGCAGAAGAACGGAAGGGGTAAATAGGGAAAATTAGACAAAAATACGACGGAAAAAGGAAAAGACGCGGCGGCTCGAGACGAGGGACTTACCGGGTTGGTGGTGTTTCTAAGTATACCTATTACTTGCTTTTCCGTAAAGAGCCAGCCAGAGGGACCATCTGAGAGCCATCTCCCACTCCGCCCGCACCGCGTCCAATCCCCGCGGACGTATCCCCTGGCGGAAGTGGTGCCTTGGGAATCGGGCATTCACAGGTCATTTTGGGCGTGGTGGCCTGGCGTGCTCTGGCGGGATCCTGACAGTGCTATAAACCACCCGTCTAGATTCCTCCTCCTTCACTCGTCCCGCCCTCCTCCTCCACTGCGGGGAGACCGCCGACGGGTCTGATCTGATCCTCGATAGAGATCGAGAGACCTCTTTCCCGCCAGCAGGCTGGTCTTTGGCCTCTGCTCGCGCTCTCGCCGGGCCTGGATCTCTGCCCGCCTCGAGTCCTCTCCTCTCAGATCATCTGATCTCGCGCTTCCTTCACACCCCTCCCAAGTACACGCTGCGGACCGACTGCTCGTTGACCTCCCCGTCTTGGGCGTCCAAGGAGCCGAGCCGATTCATATCATATATAATATCATAATACCCGGCAACGACGCGTCCTGAGCCCAGCGAGCCCGGTGCGGCGTGAACAGCCGTGAGCGAATGAGAAAGCTGGGGCAGCTGCCAATGATTGATAGTAAGTAGGAAACTCTCATGTCAAGCCGCTGGTCCCGGACCGTTATATACATATATATATAGTTTTCAGCTCGCTGCTCCCCTCGGCTCGTCACGGGTATCCCTTCTTTATCTTCAGGAGTCGATTGCTGTCCCAAAATACTACCTGTCTGTTTCTGCTTTGTTTCTCTATATATTTTTATCTTCTCCCTGTGTCGCGCAAGACTGCTCTCGATGCTCTGCAGTTAGAACCTCTCTCTCCCATTGGTGTTATAAGAGGAGCACATGTGCATCCCCTTGGTCAGACGAGGCTTCAACGAGATGCCGGGTACGACCTCAAGCTACGGTATCCTGGCAATCAGTCTTCTATCAATTATGCCCCGGTTCAAGCGCACCGATCGATTCAGACAGCTACATATCTCCTCTCCACATCTTTCCTCCCCAATCATTCCTCATTCTGCTACTCTTCCCAGTCCGTTGCGCTCGTCCCCTCTATCACTATCACCTTCAACATGCTTAGACGCCAGGCTCGCCGCATCTTGGGCTCGACCGATACTAACCATATCCCTCCCAGTTCTTACCCCACCTAATTTTCCGCTCACTCACTTCATGTGCTCGCAATCTGGTAACATCCAAGACCTAGCCACCTATTCTGGCCACTCACCATCCTGTATTCTCGAGCCCGACGCGGAGCCAGACAGCTCTTCTAATCAGGAAATTCATCACCCCCCGTCTCTGCCCTCTGACATGGGGCTGAGATACATGACCATTCCCGCTACAGATGATGCCCGGTACGTCTCCCCTGTAGCTCATTGGTTGTCCATTCTCGTGCTCCTAGTCGCGCGCGCTTTAGCCACTCCTGCACACCCGCTCTCGTCCATCTTCCCATTTCCAATCGCCTTATCATGCACCTGATCGCTGGGTTCTCGCTGTACAAGTGTAAGAGAGATGCCACGACCTTTCCCATCGCTCTTGCTACCGGGTAATCTGATGTTGCACAACTGAAGCCCAAATCGTCCTATGTAACAACAGTTCGTGTCACGAGAGTTGGGTCCCGTTCTGGTGTCACCCAGCTGTTGTGCTGGCTGTGCTACTTATGTAGTCCAACTGGGCAGCGTTGACACAATGGCGGACGACAAGCAACCCTAAAGATTGTGTCTTAGTTGAGCCTTAAGATCCTCTTGCAGTCATACGGAGTTGTGGCTGACTGATGGCTCAGATTTGCACCGGAATCCGGTAACTCTCACAGCCCTTTGAGTCCTGTGTACTCCATCGAACCCGCAATACAAACTACGTCGTCGACACTAAGTTACCTACCCTACACCAATATCTACCAGCCCAGCCTGGGCGGGTCCACATACTCGACCGGCGGGAATTCTTACTTTTCTCCGCCCTCGATCTTTTCTATGCCTGACATCAAGCCACGACTGAGTTCACTGTACGTAGATACCCCCTTCCCCCCACCCCCAACACCCTCCTCCGCTCTCTCACGATTCTGCACCACTTTTGTGCCTTGATAATAATGACTTATCTGCTCAGTAATCCCTCCCCTGGGATGGCACCACCATCCCGCTCACCTGCATTACCACATCTACAGTCACCAATAACAGCTCGAGACCTATACACAAGTGCAACACCTCACCTCCGGAGGACTTCCGAACTGCTCTCCAGGTCTCCATCGACCTCTGGAACCATAAGAGGCGTGCCGCTATCACCATCATCGAGTGGGGGGTTCACGAGTCCGAGCAACATGGATAGCTCCGTTGGGAACACATCTAGCCCCCCACTCCACCCCACTGAAGTAATACACCAACTGCAGACATCAGATGGGCAGATCATCCGGCCAGAAATATTCGGCAGAATCGATAAAGGCTTCTTCATGGCAGACAATGACTGGACTTGCTACCGGAGGAATTACTTCTCCTTGAACTGCTCATATACTCTCCTTCCTACCGTCCCAAACGGTAGCATACACCTCATGCAACATGGCGGATCCTCTCCGCAGGTCTATGGGTTCGCCCTCTCGATCGCCGCAGTCGTTGATGGACGAGATGGAAAATCTATCGAGCTCGTTCAGCACACCCCAAAGCGAGACAAAGGGCCCCAAGATAAACCAGCCAGAATAGCTCTCGCCCCTCGCTCTCCCCCACCCCCAGGGATGTATGGGGGCGACAGCAGCCTCGCTGGTGGATCACGAGGACTCTACGATCCCGGGTTCGGACAAAACCCAAACGCCCCGGCCACAGAGGCCACGTTCGAGCGTATCCAGTTCAAGAATGCTACAGCCAACAATGGAAAGCGCAGGGCGGCCCAGCAATACTATCATCTGCTTGTGGAGTTGTTCGCAGACGTCGGTGCACAGCACTCGGAGCGCTGGGTCAAGATAGCCTCGCGCATGTCCGCGCCGATGGTTGTCCGCGGCCGCTCGCCGGGCCATTATCAGAGCGAGCGTCGGGGTAGCAACGCCAGCACTGGACCTGGTGGATCCGGCGGCGCTGGCGGCGGTGGTTCCTACAATGCACCGGGTGGCGGCTCGTCTCGCACTCCAGGAGACATCAGTATGTCGGGGACGTCATCGATGCTTCCCAGTTCCAGCTACGGCGGCGCGTACGATAACCGCTCGCATCACTACCGCTCCAACCTGCAGATCCCTATGGAGCCGACGATGTCGGCCGAGGAAGCAAAGAGCATCGAGGAGGCGCCGTGTTACTTATACTATCCGGGTGCCATCTACGAGGGCCACGAGGGACGCTACCAGCTGCCCAGCGTGTCGGAGTACACGGCCTCGAAAGTGAAGCATGAGTACGGCTCAACGGGCTACGTGCTTCCTAGCCTGTCAAGTACACAGGAGGGCCTGGGGCGGCATTGTGGGCGCTGGGAGGGCACTGCAGAGTCGAAGGGGTATTTCCCCACGACGCTGATTCAGCAGGAGCTGAACATAACATGATTAATTGCAGTGTTCTTCCCTATCAATTCCAACAGTGCTGTGCTGTGATGCGCTGCGAATCTTTACGAGCAACTTCCTGCCAGCATAGCGCAACGGTCTGTCACCCAAGACCAAAGTATCACAATTCTCGCACTCCTGTCGCTTTTCTCGGTCGAAATTACGCTCTATTCGATTTGATCCGATTTCCTTACGATTCAGTTTGGATTCCCAGCTCCGCGATTTACGTTCGCATTCGCATTCGCATTTGCATCAATCCCATTTCCATTTCACATAGGACATCTGGGCATTGGGACGGAGGGGCACAAGAACGCATGTTAGGTTAGGGCATGGGGATACCCCTTGCTCCGTCATGATTTACTCATTGCTTTATTGGTCTGTTTTATCCGTCTTCATTTCAACCTCATTTCACGACGAGAGAAAGCAAGAGAGAGAGAGAACGAACGAAGAGAAAATGTCAGTTGCAGAGAAAGTCTCACATACCAGTAATGAATTGAAAGAACCGAAAAGCAAAAACAGAAAAGAAAAAAAAAAGGAACAAGAAGAAGAAGAATAACGAGAATAACAAGAAGAAAATTCGATGCTTCATTCATTTGCGTCTCCTCCTGTTTCATCGGAAGGAGGGATGGAAAATGACCAGAACACCATCACTATCGTCATCATCATCGTCTCACGCTCAAATACTTAGCGCTTAAGACATTTACGGTCGGTCATTTACACGGAGCAGGGACGGGGAACAGGAACTGGGACAGGATTGGGAATGGGAATGGGAAAAGGAAGGAAGGGAGTTATCAGAGAGTTATTGTTTTATTTCTTCTTTTACTCTTGCTTCGCTAGTAGGGGATAGGGAAGGACAGGAGCGTTTAGGGAATTGGGCGTCGTCCTTGCTGATGTTGTTGTGTGATTCGAATCTTCTGATTCTTCTTCTTCTTCGAAGGGCTGTTTACTTACTATCTTATCTATCTTTTGCTTGCTTGCTCTTGTTCGAATTAAAATTCTGTCCTCGCGTTCTATATCTAGGTAAGGTACACTCGTGCCCTTTTGCTGTCTTGACTAAACCCTAAATATAAACTGGTGAGAAGAAGGCGCTGTAGCGCAACTGCTCTTAAAACCCACCCATCCTCTCTTTTCAAGTAGATTCCTCACTGGCGTTACCTTGCGTTACACATCAAGTGATGGTATAAACAGGGGGGTGCTCACGTGACTACGGGTAAATCTCTCGGTTACCTCCGTACGAGAAAGGATCTTTTGCGCCTTACCTATAACAGTAATCTCGGTACCTCGTAAATCCTTAAGTTACTCCGTCTTACACCCTTCACTCCTTTCCGTCAACCAACCCAATTCGTTCGTTTTTTCTTTACAGATGCCTCTTAAGTTTTGCTGATTTTGTATTCCGTTCAAAAGCAGCCACGCGAGTTGCTTGGTTGCGTATGATTTGTTGATCCCTGCTTTTGAGAGACAATCGGTTTTTTTGCTCAGCGATTGCCCGGCATGCTTCGTACTAGTCTTCTCGATTTGCTTCCCCGCCACACCAAGGGGTATCTATGGATCAGCTTCCTAGTTGCAGTTTTCCTACTGATGGCCCTGAGTGAGAATGGGGTTTTGGTGCCCGAGGCCTTGACTACATTTCCTAGAACGCAGCTGGAATATCCTGAGGTGGAATATTCTGTACAGTCACTGAGCGAGGACTCGACATCCCCTGAGGCTGAGGTCTCGACTGCCCCTGCATCGAAGTCTGAGGACGTTCTTGTAGAAGTTGTGGAGGCTCCACTTGCAGCACAAGAGCCTGCAAAAAGCCATGATGTTTCGACGTCGACAGGGCTTGATCCAAAAGATGTTGTCATTCTTGTCAAGACTGGAGCTACGTCTATCTGGCGTCGAATGCCCGCACACATGTCCACGACCCTCGGTGATCCTAGCTTAACACCCAACGTGCTCTACTATTCCGACTGCGAGGATAACATCAACGGGAACCCCGTGATCGACGTGCTCGCCAATGTGTCAGCCACGCTGAAAGAGTCCCCAGACTTTGCTCTCTACCACCGGGCCAAAGAGGTCGCCGACGCCAACCTGTACCTCGAATCCGGGAGCATGGACGGCGACTTCTACCTGCCCGGTGGCTGGCGCCTCGACAAGTACAAATTCCTCCCGATGTTTGCTCACGTGGCGGCGACGATGCCCGGCAAGAAATGGTACATCTACATGGAGGACGACAACTACTACTTCTGGGAGACGCTGTACGCATGGCTCGCGACGCTGAACCATACGGCGCCCATCATGGTCGGCTCACCTGCCTTCCGGCTCGGCGAGGACTTCGCGCACGGCGGCTCGGGATTTGCGATTTCGGGTCCCGCGCTGGCGCAGTCCTTCGGCGCCGACCCGCAGCTGGCGCAGCGCTGGGAGGACTACGCGCGCGAGCAGTGCTGCGGCGATCAGGTACTCTCGCACGTGCTGCACCAGAAGGGAGTGCAGCGGGAGCGCGGGCTGGACGGCGGCGGCTGGGCGGGGCTGCAGGCGCTGCCGACGTGGCGCATCGGCTTCGGGACTTGGAACTGGTGCTCGCCGATCATGAATATTCATAAAGTGCACCAGGCGGATATCTCGCGGCTGCATGTTTTCGAGCGGGAGTTTAAGATCAGGAATAGTAAGAAGGTAGGTTTGCTTTTTTGTTTTGGTTTTTCTGGAGAGAGCTATCCCCCACCCCACCGGGACACTTTTTATATAACCCTCTGAGCTCTCTGCCCTCCCTCTTTGATCCTAACCCTAACACACCCTCCAGGCCAACCTCCCTCCCATCCGCTACCGCGACATCTTCCAGTCCCTCGCCCTCCCCCATCTAACCAGCACCCGTCTCGAATGGGACAACTTCGCCTCCGCCCGGCACTTCTCCTCGTCATCCGACCCAGACGTATCCTCCTCTAACTCCCCCTCTTCCGCCAATCCCAACCCCGACCCCAACCCGTCTTCCTCCTGGTCGACCAAACCCTGGTTCTCCAGAGACGCATGCGAGCAAGCATGCAAAGACTGGGACTTGTGTCTGAGCTGGAAATACGCAGATGATTCGTGCTCGCTGGATCATACGGCGGCCTTGGGAAGGAGGATTGATGAGGGTATTAGGATGGAGAGTGGGTGGATGCTAGACAGGATTGGGAGGTTGGAGGAGCTGGAGTGTGAGGGGCTGGAGTTTTAGTATGGAGGTGTTGTGTATTATGTGTGCCATGTACGTGTATTTTGGTAGTTGGAACTTGGGAGGAATGTTTTTTAAAAAAAAAAAGAGATTTAAAATGAATATATGGAAGCGTTGTGATGGTGGTTTTGCATATCTATTTTTCATACCTCATACTATACACATACATATACATACTACCAGAGGACTCCAAGTCTATCATCATCATCATCATCATCATCTACGGCTCACTAACAACCGTACACTCATCCCTCCCCAACTCCTCATCAATCCGCTCTAGCATCCAGCCACTCACGATCTCGGTAGGCGGCGCCCAGGCCGGCAACGGGTCACGCTCGCGGCCCAGACGCACCACGGTATCGAGAGCGCACTGGGCGGCGTTGCTGTCGTGGCGCCACGATAGGCAGAGCGGGAGCGCGAGGCAGGCGGCGCGGCAGGCAGGGGGTGAGTCGCCGGCGGATGGGTTCAGCGGGTGCAGTTCCGCGGGGAGAGAGGAGGTGGAGGGGTGAGAGGCGCCCAGGAGGTAGCGGGAGGCGAAGTTGTCCCAGTGGGAGAGTTGGGGGGTGTGGAGGGAGGGGGCGATGAGGGCGGTGAAGATGTCGCGGAAGAGGATGGGGCGCTGGGTTGAGGTATGGGCGCGTTCGAGGAGGGATAGTTGAACGAGATCGCGCTGGTGGAGATGGTGGAAGCTGAAGACGGGGGCGCACCACATCAGCTTGTCGAAGCCCGTCTTCCAAGGGGGTTCCGGGCGGAATGACACAGGGCCATAGTCGCCGCGGTTGACGAAGACGCCGTGGTCCCGCAGGACCTGGCCGAGGATGATATCGCCGCAGCAGGCGCTGGCCGAGTAGTTCCCGTAGCGCACGAGGTCTGGAGGATTGGGCCCGGCGAAGACGCTGCGCATCAGAGAGCGCGAGAATACGATGCCCGAGCCGCCCTGGGCAAAGGTGGCATTGCCCTCGCCCGAGTAGGCGCCCCAGTACTCAGGCTCGTCGTCGGGTGACAGCGTGCTGAGCCAGCGCAGCACGTTGTCCCAGAAGATGAAAGTGTCGTCCTCGATGTAGACGTACCATTTGACAGCGGGCCAGTTCTTCTGGGCGTGCGTCAGCATCGGGAGGAACTTGTACTTGTCCAGGAGCCAGCCCGGCGGGTTGCCAGCCAAGGTGCTCTGCGGCTCGTCGCCTGGCAGCAGCGCATGCTCGCGATACGTGTTGAGATGGTGGGAGGAGTGCAGGTCCTGGTAGCTGGCGTGGGCAGATGCGTCCCAGGTGCGGAGGATGTCGCTCACATTGGCGAGGACATCGACACTCTCGACGTCGAGGGCGAGCTGCTCTGCAAGATCGGAATAGATAACATAGTTTGGAACGCGGGAGTTGGAGAGGGTGGTGGTCAGGTGGAGGGGCATGCGTCTCCAGAAGGTGCTGGCGCCGGTCTTGAAGATGAGCAGGACATCGGACGGTGAGGTGAAGGGGAGAGTTGATGACGCTGTGGTTGGGGCGGATGATGATGGCTCCAACGATATTGACGCTCCAGGCGGCTCTGTGGGTGAAGGTGAAGGTGAAGGTGAGGTTGAGGGTGAGGCTGAAAATGAAGATGAAGGTGAAGATGAGGCTGAAGGATGCGACTTGCCTCCATGCAGCGGAAGACGATCACGCAAAAGCGGTAGATCCAGCTCCAGATCCAGATCCAGATAATACCAACTGATCACGGCCAACAGCAGCGCAGCCAAGACGAAGACCCGGAGACGTCTTGGAGGGGGCAACATCTTGCATCGCATCGCACAAAGCCATGATGGAGCGATATGCCCAGAAATCCATAATTAAGGTGCCTTAAACATCTATAATTGTACCTAGGTATCTACGGAATAGTGCATAGTTACGGTAATTACTGTCGTATATTCCCTGCACGCACTCCTGCAGCGATCAACGCCAAGCGGCTCGGCAGCAGGAACCCGAAAAGGGGGGAGGGGCTAGACGCTTCTGGCCATATGCAATACGTAAAGGTACTGTATATGCGCTTATGCGGTTATGCGTCTAAATTGTATATATTATTGATTATATCGTACAGCTAAGATACATTCATGTTTCATACTTGAAATCTAAGGTACTCATCCAATGTACTTTAATCCGGAATAATACCTGGATTCGGACGAATAGGGGAGTAATAGGGGTCCAATCCTGCTAACCCTAAAGGTATCTTAGCCTCGCGTGGATCCCTTTTTATACGATCCTTGGCCTCGCCGCCTCGCGTACCTGACCTGACCCCATAACCTTGTCCACATCCCCACTCCTCGTTTTTCTTCACGGGCCAGCCGTCCTGTACGAACTCTTGGTATTGACTACGACCACTAGTATCAGCAGAAATTTCCATCCTTCGACGCCACCAAAGTATCTCCTGGATCCTGACACGGATTGAGTCGATTTGACAGAAGCCACGGCCCCTAATCCTCCGTCTTACTATGACTAGCCTTCACGCGCCCCGAAAATACGCTTGGTTACTTACTGAATCTGGATTTATAAGGGAGTTCATTTATAACCTGAAGATGTCCCGGCCTGTCCACTATGTCGGTGTCGACAGAGGGCTTGCGTGGCTGGCGGTAATGATCAATCGCCTCTCTCCGTCCCTCACGCTCCCTCTCGTATGCTCCCCCCGCCATGATTACTCGTCCAGTGCTCCCGTCATGGCCGAAGCAGGCGCTCAACGCCGTGCTCTGCGTGCTTTGCTTCACCGCGATTTTCCTATACTTCCGCCGATGGGTCTACCTGTTCCCCATCACCTTTGAGAGCGTGTGGCAGATATCGCTGGCCGAGGTCAACCGCCGAAAGAACATCAGACGTGTCCGCCTCCTCGAGCAAGCCCGCGAGTTGGCAGACGAGGAGAATGGAATGGGAGAAAAGAATGCCCCGGTGCGGCACCTGGCGTCCGTGGTAGGGTACCGCGAGGAGCCAAATTTGTTCCGGAAGTGCCTGCAGAGCTACCGGGGCTCGCCCGGATTGGAGATCATGGTTGTTGGTATCGATGGGGATCATGACGGGGACATGGAGATGGTTGCCATTGCGGAACAGGTAGACTTGATCCTCCTATATGCGGCTGTTAGGGAAACAGAGGCTAAATTCAACGCGTTAGGTGTTCCCTGAAACCCTGGTCAAGATACATATCGAGGAACCATACGGTCCACTGGCAGTGCGCCTATCCCGAGACTATGTCGAGCAGAGCCTGCTGGATAAGAAGGTGGCCGAGACGGGAAGACGTGTGAGCTGGGACGATCCTGATAGCATACCGAAAGATCTCTTGGAGGAATCCCGCAAATACGCCCTCAGAATGGTGTTCGAAAAAGCAACCAAAACCCTTCAGGAACATGGGGTGCTCAGAGTTCCTGGCAAAGATTCCCTCCGCGCAATCTGCCTCTACCAGCCGCATCGCTGCAAAAAGGATATTATGTTCACCAACATGATATTCTGCCTCGCACTGGGCCATGAAAACGACATTGAGTTCCTATGGACCAGCGATTCCGATACCTGGGTGTATCCCGAGACCCTATGCCAGACAATTGGGTGCATGTCAACAGATCCGTTGATTGGTGGTAGCTGTTCCGCTCTGTCGATTCATAACGGCGAGGAGAGCGTGATTGCAGCACTGGGATCTGCAGCCTACTGGACCGAATTGGCTATCACTCGTGGTCAGACGGGAGCCGTCGACGCAGTGGATTGCCAGCCGGGGCCGTGTGCGGCGTTTCGATTGAGTGCATTGGAACCGATACTATTGGGCTGGTATACACAGACATCTATTGGCATCAAGACGGTATGAACCTGGCCGATACTTCTCTTCTACTACAGGCTAACATGAGTGAAATTAGGTGGTGAATGAGGATCGTCACCTGACGACCAATCTACTCCTGAATGGATGGAAAGTAACTTTCAACACTGAAACTCTTGCGTCAACCGACACACCAACGACCCTGCTGCGCTGGCTGCTGCAGCAAATACGCTGGGCGCGCGCCACTCATATCGAAACGTTCCAGTATCCCAAGGTGTACTCTATCCACGGTCCGATCCTCTTCGTGACGGCCATGCGTCGCTTTTACGGTCCCCTGATCATCGGCATTTTCACGATCCGCTATGTGCTGACGGGCTGTACCGTGCACGCGTACTCGCTGACCGATCTGGTCGGACGCATCATCCTCTGCACGGGATACAACATGATGTACAATAAGAAGAATGTTAACGGCATCGGCTACCTCATCTGTTCCCAGATCTTCTACCAGCTGCCGCTGCCAGGCATCATGTTCTGGTCGGTCGTCACCGTGCTCGAGGGCGGCTGGGGCACGCGTATGCGCAACCAGAGCGAGACGCAGAAGGGTCGCCGCGCGGGCCTGGAGCACCTGTGGTCGACTACCGCAGTTGTTATTTGGATGGGCTTCGTGGCAGCGGCATTGACCAGGTGGGTCGCCTACCGTCTCGCGCCGGGGATCATGGTGGAGTTGATGATCTTGTCGTCGCTGGCAGTTGTGATCAACCTCTTCTACGTCCTCCTGCGGTAACAAGTAGGATGTCATGGGATCCGTTGTTATTCGATATGCGCACAAAGATCACCGAAGACTGATATGCGGGATCTACGATTGTGATGCCGTTGCTAATACAGCAGCTGCGGCGCTGGAGGGGTAAAAGAGGGGAGTGACGAGTGAAAGGAGCATTCCACGCCTCCAGTGCCTGCAAGCTGAAGCTCATGAGACGAGTAGCATTAATTGCGCCGGACTGTATGAATATAAAATAGGGGTACAGTATAGATTCGTCAGAGGGGCGTAATCTATGTAAAACTAGACAGACATTACAAATAGGAAGTTTTATAATGTATCAAAATTCTACCATTTATATCGATTTCCAAGGGCTCGATGATAAGCAAATGGGTGCGCAGACATACAAGGAGGAAAGCAAGTAATGTAGAATGGAGAATAATGTAGAATGGAGAATAGAAGTCCATATCACGTGGTTTAATCGGGGAACGATGGCGGGCTTTCTTTGTTGCACATCGCATCCATGACAAGCGTGGAAGTGTTGACCGGGGCTTTCGATGGAGATGGGATTCGCATCACGTGATACGAGAGAAGAGAGAAGTTTTGTTGCACATCGCATCCGTGACAAGCGTGGAAGTGTTGACCGGGGGCTTCGATGAAGATGGGATTAGCATCACGTGTCTGTCACTGAGGGGCAGCGAGACTAGCATCACGTGACCCACCTCCGCATCTTCCAAGACGGATCTACCGAGATAAGGTACCTTAAGGTGTGGAGGATAGATAGATAAATAGATAGACAGGTGTGCTGCGAATTGTCCGAAAGCCAAGGCAGTTCGTCGACGAGATCGCTCTGCTGCATGTCCCTGCATATACCTGATCTGACACTGGACCGTTGGACGTGAGTGTGCAGATCTTAGGTATATATCTCAGCTCTCATATCTATCTCCTACAGTATATCTTCTCACGATAACTCTCCTCCTGCGTCATACCGTCGCAACGATCTGATCGCCCACCCCTTCAAATGCGCGCGTGCTGATTGGACGCCTCACCGCCACACCGCCACACCGCCGCACTCGCCACACCTCGGGACCAGCGATCGCAGCCGTGCAATCCCGAACCTTCCCTTCGATCCTCGCTCCCCTCACGAACCTCCACTTCCACTCGCCCCACGACCGATGAGCTTCGAATCCACGCTTGGTTCTGTGATCCAGGGACAGAACTGCCTTTGGATGAAAAGAGAGAACGGGATTTTCTTCTTGAAGAGAAGGGACTGGGAAGGCAAGCCAAGGCGAAGAGCTAGCTGGCTTTTGACCGAGGGCACACGATAAAAGAATATACCGAAGATTGTGGCGAGGGGCACATCATCCGCAATACCCCACCACGAACTGGGCCGCGACTCACGAGAGACCGTTGGGTCAAGAGGCAGATCCACAGACGCCGAACTTGGACATAGCTGGGCTGTCCGGCAGGAGGAAGGGAAGTCTTCCATCGAATACCCGGCCATAATCGTCCAGAACACCACCAGACAGGAGACGCTCCCCGCACCAGCTTACTTCTTCTATTTATCTTCCTCTTCCACTCGCCGTTTTTTCGAGCCTCCTCGATAACTGAAATTTCTATTGCCACGGGCGACAAGAAACGAAACCAACGAGCCTAAGAACCACGAAAATGCCATCAAATCACCCCTTCCTCTCCTCCTTCCTCTCCGCCTTCCGCGCCCACTCCGCCCTCCAACAAGCAAAACCCTCCCCTCAAGTCTCTCCTCCCCCCTCCTCCCAACCATCGCACTCCTCCCCGCACTCGTCCCCAATCTCCGTCTCCCACTCCTCCCCACGCACTATCACAACCGCTTCCAAACCCGGCACCACCAACACCACAACCGCGCTCTCCTCCCTGCACTCTCCCCGAGCCGCCTCCTCCCCACTCGCTACCTCTCCCGGTTCAGACCCGGCCTCTCCCCCGCCAAACAGAAGATATATCCAAGACCGAGGAAGACGCAGTTCTGATTCCTCTAGCGAGGGCTTTCGAGACGTGCTAGGGAAGGAGAAATGGTATATCGGGGGCCGGACCGCCGGCGGCGAAGAACGATATTTTAAGCTGGGGACCGTGAGAAGACAGCGGAGTTGGGCGGAAAGAAGTCTGGATCGTTTGAGTTTGTGAGAGGATCGGGAACTTATATAGAATGGGGGATAGAGAATGGATGGTTTGGGGTTGGGGTTGGGATTGGCTTTTTTTGGGAGATTGAGCAGAGTAGATTACCTGCTCTGATCTAGCGATATAATGGGAATGGGAAAACTCCCTTTTCATCCAATCCCCATTCCTCCGATGCAGGGATTCAGGGGATTCAGGAATTCTGCATATACACATTTCACGTACATACATACATGACATAACAAGACGGTTCGGTTCGGTTGGCGGCCTCCCAGTCACTTAAGGTATACGGGGACTGAAACATGAGGCGAACGGCGTTTGTTTGGAGAATTATGGATTGGATGGGGGGTTTTGGTGTGGTTGGCGGGAAGGGGAGGGTGTATGAATACATACATACATACTATACATACATACATTTTAGTGTGATTCGATGGATGGATAAGGTCAATTGATTGATTGATTCACCTCTTCACCTCTTGAGTTCATGTCTTACTTCTTCTTGTTGGAAATAGAATGGAGGGATTGGTTGAATACGATATCATATATAAGATACAGGGCATTATGATAAGATACATGAATATGATATAGAAAAAAAAAAAAAAAAAAAACCTATATTATCCCAATCCCTCCCTCCCTGCATTCTCCAACCCCGATTTCTTTTCTTTTCTTTTCTCCATCAAGCTATCATACCCCCTTCCCCCCAAAAAACTACAAGTCTACCACATAAACCTCTGCACCCTCCCCCTCTCCTGCTCCCACTCAAAGCCTCGATACAAGAACACGTACCCGGTCCCCAGATTCACTATTAAAAACCAGAGGGTTTCTAAGAGCACTCTCGAAGCTCGGCTTTTGGATTTGCGGAGGGAGGGGGAAGGGAGGTTCAGACGCCAGAGAACCCAAGGGATGATGAAATAGCGGGGTTCGACGAGGGGAGCGGTGATTAGGGAGAGGGTGGTTGCGAGGAGGAGGAGGAGGGCGGATGATGTTTTGGTGGTTGTGGTTGGGGTTGTGGGTTGTAGTTTTTGGGGTTGCTTTTGTTGAGGGAGGGGGAGAGGAGATGAGGATGTGGTGCGGTAAACGAGGTAGAAGCATAAGATGTAGATAGGTGCCAACAAGTAGCGGATGAGCGGATGCCGCAGGATCGTGTACCGAAAGATGTAGAACATGTAGTGCCGGTTGTCGGCGAGGGTGAAAGGGTGGATCAAAGTGTTGTGTTTGATGATAAGGAGAAGTGGGGGGAGAGGGAGGAGGAGGAGGAGGAGGGTTTTGAAGGTTGGAGAGGTGGGGGAGGGGGGGTTTTGCTTTTGGGCGCGGCGTGGAAGGAGGGAGAGGATGGGAGTGGCGAGGAAGTGGAGGAGCGAGAGAGCGGATGGTAGGAGGAGAGGGAAAGAGAAGAATGTGATAAAGGGCCAGAGGTAGAGGAGCTGTGGGATATGGATGGTCGCGACGTGGTTGGATTTATCGCCTTTGTCTCGTCAGTTAGAATCAGGAGGGGTTCGGAGGGAAAGGGGAGGTACCGAGAACGACTCCACCGTTCCAGAATACGAAAACGCCGAAGGAAAGTAGAAGCGCGATATAAGGCCATATTCTGGATAGGATGAGGAGCGGATGGGATAGTGTAGCTATGCCGATGCTGAGCGCGCAGAGGGCGAAATCTGATACGTTAGTTGTGTTTCGTGCATGGGACGGTTGGTGAATTACCGTGGATTTCAGCATCTTGTAAAGGGATGTCGTGGATCTCGCCCCTCGCGTAGCGGCGGAAGGTAGAGATGACAGTCTCTTTCCAAGTCTTTGGCTCGGAGGTTTCTTTGAGAGGAGATGGCTGGATGTCCTGCAGAGTCCGCACAACTTCTAATCCACCCATATATACAGCGACCCAGAAAATGTTCGTCTGTCTCATGGTCAAGGCTAAGACACCCGCCACATATAACCACACGCCACGCTCTCTCTGTAAGAACAGCTTATACATCCTCAGGACTAGACACGTGCTCAGCACATCTGTATAGAACAGTCCCGAGAAGAAGAAGAGAGGTGGGAAGAGAGCGATGTTGAATGCTGTATGCAGCGTATCCGGGGATATCTTCAACGCCGAAGCATTCGAGAGGCGGTTAATAAGACCACGACAGGAAGAAGCATATGACATAGTTAAAACAAGTACAAGGGTATTGAACAGCCGCAGCGTGAAGACATCGCAATTTCGAATCCCGCCCAGGTTTCCAAAAATCGTCGCGAATGCGTACAACCCCGGAGGAGTCGTGAGTTTCGGGTCCCAGATATGGAAATCGCCCACACAGTAAGCTTGTGCTTGGGGGATGTGGAATATCTCGTCCTGTTCCGGGTTAGCCTTGAATATGTGAGAAGGGGAGCGAGCACGTACGAGATAAGGCTCGGGAACGATTCTGGTCACCTGATTCTGCCAGATGGATGCGATGGCGTAGAGAGCGAGGGAGACGAAGGCGACGAGACTTTTGTAGGGGCCTTTGAAAAGAGGTGCTTGTGCATCCTTGATGATGTAGGCGACGCCTATCCATGGGAGATAGGGGACCCACGTGGTGGGATGCAAGACCCCAGGTGCCATGAGGACAGTTTGTCCCTGGACGCGTTTTCAATCCTGTTAAACGAGTGTGTGTGAAAGGGTCATTCTAGAAGAGGGTTAGCATGATTTGTCCAAAAGAGGTCCATAATTGAAGGGAATACCTAGAAGGGATACTGGAGCTGGGCGGGATCGAGTGCCTTTGAGGATGAAGATGGACGAGGCTGGAGAAGAAAATAAGGAGTCGTCGCTTATTGTTAGCCGGGGCGCCATTTGGCCAATGAACGATGGCACGGGTTGCTGACTAAGCGCACCCCCTGAATGGACCTCTGCTCTCTCTTGAACAGGAGCCAGCTCAGTTATTCCCGCTATTCTTGCTGACACTGTCTCTGATTCTGGTTTAAGGGCTGTAGTTCTCTCTATTTGAGAACTACATTAAGCGGGAATCCATATCCAAGTCCTGTCTATCAAGACTCAAGATTCAAGAGACTCGAAGTTCGGTCACCTCTAATAAAGGAATGGCCTGTCTTGTGTTGAGCACTGACATGATCATACGGCTTTGCTCCAGAAGCCATTTTATGGTATACTACTAGCCAGCAGAAACGCGTTCAAAAGGCTCTTGGTAGCTCTACGGGCTACCTACATAGATATATCATCTTCCCCCTTCCCTGTATCTGTTGAGTCGTTGACGTTCAGTCACTTCAACTAATAAGTAGCAATAGTTGATATCTGCTCTCTTATAACATGCAATATGTATGTTTGGAGTGTGGTAAGGCTCGAGGTTGGACCGCCAATTGCGGTTAGCAACACGTGGCTCTGATATTGAATCTCGAGTATCCCCGTGCTTTCAAAACCAAAAGAAAGCAAACAACAAGAACACGAAAAGAATAAATAAAAACAAAACAAGAAAAGGGAAAAAAAAGGAAAGACAGGCAACAACAAGCAATAAAAATATCAAAAAGTTCAGCAGGAAGGGTTCGCAGCCTTGCGATCTTCGATTGCCTACATCTTTAACCGGCTTCTATAGACGCATACTGTTCTATAAACGCATACTGTTAAGTACACTAGCCGTATAAGCTATAGCCTATTCCCCAATTTCACAGGGACACCATCATATATCATGATAGTGAACCTTTGCTAACCACATAGTGGTAAACGTTCGCTAACCATATACTGGTCAACCCTTGCTAACCACTGCGCCATTGCGTGAAGGGCGAAAGAGTCTGGCTTAGAGTGAATTATACACTTCGGGACCCAGGATGTCATTGTCACATGTTGTATGGCCTCTAGATACCTAAGTATTGGCATACAGGCCTCTACCAAAATAAGTATAGCCATCTATAGGTATTTTCTGGAAACTGAAGACATAAGAGGTGTCTTTAAATCTGGTGTTTAGTTACAACGTCTGATACCTATAGATATATACACTTGTCTGGGCTCTGGGGTCTGGAGTTGGAAATTCACATGGTATCTACTTAAGAGATCTTGGACTCGTACCTTAAATAATTATAATTTATAGTATATAGTGATCAGACAAGTGTAGCGTAATATCTAGGAGATGGTTCTACCTTGCTAAAACACAGAGGGCAAGGAAGCTTGATCTCCCAGGAACGGAGGAATTCGAAAGGAGGATAAAGAAGGAGAGCTAGCTGATTTTCCCTATTAATCACGGGAAGAAGACACGCTATAGCCATTAGCCCATCAGGAGACTATCTTAAACATAAAGAGGTTGACATATAGAGCCTCTGTTAGGCTGCGCAATAGGTCCCTATAGGTTAGGTTTCTATAGGTAGGACCTAACCTATAAGGATCTAACCTATAGAGTAGGTTTAGACTAGTAGGTAGGCCCTAACCTATAACCTAACCTATAGGTTACTAAGACCTTAACACGTAATTTAAGCCTTAATAATATTACGTAGTAGTATAATAATTATAGTTTATACTAATCTTTATACTAATTACTTTATAAGGCGTTATTTAATAGATTATATTTAGGAATTTATAAAAAATATATAATAAAATTATACTTTATAACTTATAATCTTATTACTATTCTATTTTAAATTTAGCCTTATAGCCTTTTACCTCTTAGTATAGTATACCTAAGAATTCTATTACGTATAGACTATATAAGCTTTATATCCTTTTACTAAATTATAACTTGTTTAGTATAAATAGTAATAAGATTTGTTACTATATATTATTTAATTAGTATAAAGATTAGTATAATAGATTAAATACTTATAAGAAAACTTAGTAGTTAATATAGCCTTTATAGATTCTTATAAGGCTTTTATTACGCTTTTCTAGTCTCGGAATTTAAGGCGTAGCTAAAGTATAATCTCTTTTACTAGCCTTATAAAAGGTACTTATAGTATTAATAGTTTAGTAGTCTTTTAGTACTTTCTTATTTCTCTTAGTACTATAGCTATTAAATTTGTTAGTAGAGTTTTTATACTAATCTTTATACTAATTAACTTACTACCTAGTTTAAATCTTTGTCTTCTAGCCTAAGGGTTTAGACTATTTAGCTAGTTAAGCTAGTTAGGCTAGTTAGGTTAGTTAGGCTGTTTAAGAAGCCTTTTACTAGATTAAGGGTAGTATACTATAGCTCTTTTTAGTAGTATAGTTAGATAACTTAGTTATATAAGTAGTAGCTTTTAGCTTTAGGCTTTATACTATTTTATAATTACGATTAACAAATAGTAGATAAGAAGACTAATAAAGTTAGTATAGTAAGAGGTATAAAAGGTAAGAGGGTAAGAGAGGGCCTATATACTAAATTAAGGTTAGCTTAATAAAAGAAAGGTAAGTAAGTAGTAAAGAGTTGTCTATTTATATATTATAAAAATAAAGGCTTAGTAAATTTTTAGTAAAATTAATTTACTTTATAACTAACTACTTTACTTATAGTACTATAATAATAGTACTATATAATATAATAAGTAAATTAAAAACTAGGTTAATAGAACAGTCGTTCACGCCCCCTACTACCCTAAAAACTCGAAAATAAACAATAGAATTAAAATTAGTACCTTTAGATACTTTCTAGAGTGCTAGTAGACTATAGGTAAGCCTATAGTAACAGATAGTAGGTGTGCTAGACTTAAACAAAGCTAATACTACTTACTTACAAGTAAGAGCTAGTACTTCTATACCCTAACTAAGAGCTATAGTAAGGAGCTAGAGAGTAGTAAGGGTAATAAAGATAATAAGATAAAGAAAATCATATAAAGGATTAAAGCTTACGTAATACTAGGTAAGGAAGAAAAGGCGTCGCGTCTCTTACGCGACCTTATTACTATAACAATAATAGTAGTAGAGACAAAAGCTATAAACACGACAACCCTCTTATATACCTTTAGGTCCCTTTCTAATAATAACCTAGTAATAATTAGATAACTAAGAATAATGTTAGAAGAGGCCTTCTAAAGGCTAGTAACAATAGTAGCCCTCTAGGCTACCTACACGTTAGTAGCGAGCTAGCGCCTAACAAGAGTCTAGGTTATACTAGAGAGGCGGATTAAGGAGCTAAGGATTAGGGCAGACAGATAGACAGAAGACCTAGTACGTTATAGCGCTATTAAAGTAGTAATAGCGGCTAATATAGCGATAAGGGGCGCTAAGGTAGTAGTGACCTACTAGCTACTTAGCGACAACACTATCCTTACGTTTAAAGAGGCTATACTAAAGAACGTAATCTAAGATTAAGGCTAAGTATAAAGGGCGTTTAGGCCTATAGCCTAGCTTTATAAGAGTAAGTTCGCTATAATTACAAAAGGCCTACTAGTAGAACAGATTATATAAGTAGAGCTAAGAGCGTTACTAGTAGAGATCTAAGCTTACGTACTATATGTTATAAAGGTTAAAGTTAAACTTATTAAGGCCCTTATAGTAAAGTTTATAATAGTAGTACTATACTTTTAGAGCGCTAACGTAGCGACGTGCCTATACAAGTAAAGGTTAATCTAGTAAGCCTAGATCTTTAACTATAAGCTGTATTTAGCTGACCTATAAATCTAAAGATATTTCTAGTACTACTAGTTTAGCTACATTAGGCGGTTCTATAAGAACTAGGCCTAGTATAGCTACTATATAAGAGCGGCGTACCCTTAAGGTAAAGAGGAGTACCCTTAACTTAATAGTAGAAAGAGATACGTTAACTATAGTAGACTATATATAGCGTAAGACTATTAGTATCTTAAGGCCCTTAAGGTAAAAGAGCAGGTATATACTATATATTAACAAAGGCCTAGACAGTTTAAGGTATCTAAAAGTAGCTTTACTAGCTAGGTACTTAGCGTTATACTAGCGTCTTTATAAGATAGTAACAATAGCTACTAGATTATAATACATAAGAGACTATAGACAGGTAATAGTAAGAAGCCTATAGTAAAGACTCTAGTAAGGTAAGGGCGCCTTCTTATTAAGGCACTAGATACTATAATAGTCTAGAGCTATAACATTATAGAGATATTAAGCTAAGGGGCTAACTAAGGGTCTAGCGACCCTTTTATAACACAAGAATTATAGATCCTAGACTCTTAGTAATAAAATTAATAATAGTATACTAGAATACTATAAGAAAGAACAGCCTTACCTTAATAGTACTTTATAATAGCCGTAAAGTCGACATTATAGTAATTTAAGAGCTATAGTATAATACTTAGATAAAGACAGTCTACTACCTAGTGTAGGTAAAGTACTAGTAGGTCTATAAGGGTAAAGGTAGAGTAGCTATCTACGTCTACAAGTAGTACTTACCTCTTACCTAAGTAGTAAAGACAGGCGTTAACTAGTATTACGTTACTTTATAAGGAGTTACTGTCTAGTTAATATACTTACTAATTCCTAACTCTCTAGGCTAGGCTAGTCCTCTCTAGTAGCTTACTAAGGAAGACCTAGAAGGGCTATAGATTATTATAAGTAACATAAACCTTTATTACTTACTTTAAGATAGAGCTAGTAAGACTACCCTTAAATTAAAGACCCTTCTCTATCTAGCCTATAAGTAGTAGCTCTTACTATACATACCCTAAGGAGAGCTAATATAGTAGTAATATAATAAACAAGACTTAATAATTAACTACGTATAGGTTATAGTAACGCTCTAGTATACTTATTAAGGTAACCTAAGGTATAAAAGATCTAACTACTATACCTAGCTAATTAAGGTTATTACCTAAGTAAGAGAT